ACGACGTGTTCGAATGATAATAAGCGTTTATTGTTATCGGGCCGGTCCGTAAAACGGCCTCCGCATTTGTGACCTCTCCGATAAATCACATTTCAACACGTCTTAGTTTTTTTAAACGTAAACAATAATTAACTTGAATCATAACACGATTTTATTAGCTTTTTTATTGCTCATGTGGGTGGTCGAGCTCCTGAGCCTATAGACATCAACAACGTAATTACCGCACATCCTTAAGACTTAGAGTTTCAGTTTTATAGAACAACGGCTGCTCCACCCTACAAGCAGACACTGCGTCACGGCAGAAATAGGCAGGGCGGTGGTATCTACCCGTGCGGGCTTACAGAACGTCCTATGGGTAAAAATCTGCGGTAGTGTAGCTTCACCTGCCTAAATTTACGTGCATATCAGATATTAATGACAATGCAGTAATTTTATTACTTTAATTTGGTACTTTGACCTAATATCCTGATCAGGATGTTCAGATTAAAAGATGATTTCATTTGATATTTAATTCGATTATCGAACGAAATCTAGTCGCTAGTAAGGCAAGGATGTCACATCCATCGCAACATACTAATACCTACAACCTACCCATGACTTCGCAGGCAGCGTAGCAATCGAACGATACCACACCCAGCGAGAGGCAACCCTGGTTTCTGCTACATTAAAAAAAACAATATATGTATAATAAGTCGTCGGCCTAAAGGATAAGACGTCTGGTGCTTTCGTATCTTGCGATGCAACGGTGTTCGAATTCCGCAGGCAATTACCAGTTTTTCTAATGAAATACATAGGTACTTAAAAAATGTTCACGACTGACTTCCACGGTGAAGAAATAACATCGTGTAAAAAAAATCAAAACCGCTAAATTATAATTTGCGTAATTACTGGTGGTAGGATCTCATCTGAGTACACACGGGTAGGTACCACCACCCTGCCTATTTCTGCCGTGAAGCAGTAACGCGTCTCGGTTTGAAAGGCGAGGCAGCCGTTGTACAATAAAACTGAGACTTTAGAACTCACATCTCAAGCTAGGTTTTACCGATTACCAGTAGGAACCGATTAGCAGTCCAGTTACGTTTTGCATCTCACCTAAGACATAGAGACGTGAATTAATAAAGTCGTTTAACTTGTTAAGAAGTGCTCAAGGCTGCTCAGCTGTGAGACGGTCATCAACAGATCAAGGCCGTTAATTTTACTAAAACAACAACTTTTTTTTACGTCTTGCTCAAATAATTACCATAACGTACGTGCGGTTTATTTTATGATAATGGCTAATAGTGTCACCTTTGGTTGAATTTTAGGGATCAATATTTGTTTTTTCGTTTTTTTTTTTATATTGTCGAAAAAGGCGCCGAAGGGAAATTAACAGCAATTATTTTCTTCAACTCGCGATGCTAATTGATTTAGAAACTTTGCCTATGAGTATCTGTGTAACACCAAAACAGAAGGTTGGTACATATATAATATATATCTATACTTAATATTATAAAGAAGAAAGTTTTGGTTGTTTGTTTGTATTGAATAGGCACCGAAACTACTGAACCGTTTTGAAAAATTCTTTCACTGTTTGGAAGCTACACTATTCCCGAGTGACATAGGCTATAATTTTTTTTGGAAAAAATTAGGGATCCTTACTAAAACTCCAATAATGTAACCCAAGGTGTAAAAAAATACCTAAAATATTCTTTACATCGCGTGCCCTGCGAAAACTATTGATGATAGAATAAAATAATGTACTACGACTTTGTAGAACAGCATCCGCGACAGCATACGTCTAACTATTATAGTTATGCCGCAATATGTGTCCTTTTATTTAAAAAAAATAATACAACGTCAAATATCCTTAAAATTTTTGTTAAAGACCCGAGCGAAGCCGGAGCGGCCCGCTTGTATAATATAAATGTATATTATTAACACTTCTACCTATACATTATTTTTAAAAGGATTATATTATAACAAAAAGAAAATGAAAAAACCGCAGATAAATTCAAAATAATACACAAGGATGTCAAAAAAGACGGTCCACATTAATAATGCTACAAAGATGTTAAAAACTTCTGCTTAGTTCGGGTTTCAATTTAAAGATCAAAGCATTTGTCATCTGCCATTGGGGCATTCCTAAACGTAATCTGATGACGTAAAAACGGTCAGTGCAGTGACGTCAGAGGTGGAATTATGGGCAGGTATGAGTAATAAGATGTCTACAAGACCGCACGTCCGCTTGGTAGAAAGCCGTTTCTTTTTTGTCGACGGTTCCAGCTAACTGTTCCCCTGTTAGTGCTAGTCACGGATGACCGTGTTCTCGAACGTAAATATTCGTACGTCAGAAACTGTAAATTAAACTAATGAACCCGAGCGACGCGCAAGCAAGCAAATGGGTAAGACGCCCGGTACACTCGTGTCGTGGGATGCGAAGATGCCGCGATTCAAATTTGGCAACTTCGTGCTAACGGTTGCGATAAAGAAACTATTGTGATATGGGAATAAGATGGAGAAATTAGCTTTTAAGGATTCGATTCGAATTTGTAAAAAATATAAAAACGGAATGGCACAAACATGGCATCAGGTATGCTGTGAAAATATCGTACGTCCTGGCTTAGTAGGCGGGATAACCGATGCGACAGTATAATCGAGATTTCGATGCCGCATTTCGTATTTTGTTATGCATAACTCAAAAATCTCCAAACCCTACAATCCCGCTTTTGCAGGTTAGCTGTCGGAGCTCCGTGGTTCGTGAGGAACGTTGACCTACACGATGACCTGGGCCTTGAATCGATCAGGAAATACATGAAGTCAGCGTCGGAACGGTACTTCGATAAGGCTATGCGTCACGCAGGAGCCAGTCACCGTCGACGCCCTAGACACGTCCTTACAGATTCATCAGATCCAATAACCTTTGCATTAGACGCCTTCAGCTCTAACACTCGGAGCAGGCTTAGGGACTGTGGTATAGCGTACTTGTGGAACTCGGCAAAGAGTTCGACGTGCAACCTAACCCATGCATCAGCTCGCTGAGTTTCTCGCCGGATCTCCTCAGCGGGTCGCGATTTCGATCCGGTGGTAGATTTATTCGCGAAGCAACTGCTCTTGAGTTGTTAGGTCACCTTCGGAGGCGCTCGGGCAGCTGTTAGCAAATCCCACCTCTCCTGGCTGAGCCTTTGCTTGCCCATCTGTCCTGGTGAAACTGGAAAGGCCTCAGGGCCACCAGTAAACCTTCAATCATAAAAAAAAAATTAAATGTCTTCGCTTTTGATGAGGAAGCGGAGGCGAAGATCTTCCACCGAGCGGGTGATATTGCTCGGTAGATCGAAGGCCCGAACGTAGCTGTTCGGAACTTGTAGGTGTATATGCAAGCTTATCTTGACAATGTCGATTATCAGGCATCTGTCAAATATCTTGTGTTGTATGATAGCTACCCGCCACAGGGTAATCGGTTTAATTGATTAATAATTTTCTGTGCTATGTCACGTTTTTCCCCGTAAATAAAGGCAATAGATATTTTATTCTTAATTAATTTAAAATAGAAAACTAAATGGTAGTTAGATGATTCACGAAAAGTGAATAGCTTGAATTTGTTAGTCTGAGCTTAACCTTCATACAGCATGCGTTCAAAATGTGCTAATCGGTGATACGGTTATGACAATTCAGGACAAATTGCTAACCGTGTCTTGAGGTTGGTAAACAATATTTTTGAGGTCACTCTCAAGAAAATTTAGAAATCGTTCTAAATATTTTTCAATTATTTCATGATTCTTATGCTCCAAGTGCCGAGCATCCAATATATAAGTGAAAAAAAAAACAAAGTTTACCACTTCCGAAAAAATATCATAAATAGGTATGCTAAATGAGATAAATAGGACTGCAATAAGATAAACCTGCAATTAAATCTTCGACTTCATGACTTAAGGCAGGCGTTGGGTTTGCCCGTCGGCGGTGTATCGCGTTCCGACCTAGCAGGTTGGTTCTGATCCAATGGGGTATCCTGGAACAGCAGCGACATTGCCGGGGCGGTCTGGTAGGGTCTGGTAGGGTCGCCGTACCGCGGAGACCGGCGTCGTTGGTCGTCGACTATCGTCTCGATGACTCGTCAGTCGGGCGTACGGGGGGCGCCGTGAGTCTGGTTGTAGTGTTGACCGCGGGAACCCCATTACTCTGACCGGGTTCTGACCCCGGGCGAAGATCGGACGCCGGGTGTAACAGCGCAGGGGAATCGCTTCGTGCGGTAGGGCCCTAAGACGTCCTTGGGCCCGCGCTCTGACCCTAACATCTGCAGAACGTCAAGTCCCACATACCCCGCGCACCCTCTAGGCGCGGGGACCTCATAGGAGGAATGGACCCGGCCCGGAAAAAAAGGCGTTGGGTTTCAGATCATACTATTTAAGGGGTTTGGAAAACATAAGCCCTGAGCTCCATAAAAAAACCAATACCTACGCCTTTCAATAAACGTTAATTTGAATTTTTTTTTTTTTGTAAAACATCACCTCGTATTTATTTACAGCACAGACACGAATAAACATGCTCGCGGACCTAATGGAAGGAATTCTCGATTCAAGACATGTATTTCTTCATGTCAATAACATGTAATTTTATTATTGTATTCTCTCATAACAGCTTTATGTCTGAATGATTTAGGTACATAATAATGGGTTATTTGGTTGCCACAAGCGCCTGCAAGAAGATCAGAGCATATTTTCTCAATTGAATTTAGTGTATAAAAGTTTTACCATAATGTTTGTTACGGGTTTTAGCATATGATAGAACATATGGTAGGACCTCTTGTCCGCATGGGTAGGTACCACCACCCTGCCTAATTCTGTCGTGAAGCAGTAATGCGTTTCGGTTTGAAGGGTGGGGCAGCCGTTGTAACTATACCTACTTGAGACCTTAGAACTTATATCTCATTTGGTGGGTGGCGCATTTACGTCGTAAATGTCTATGGGCTCCAGTAACCACTTAACACCGGCTGTGAGCGCTCATTTTGAATACATTGTTGGCAGGTAAAACGTTCGATTATGTTGAAAATGGCGGACGCGTGCGTCGACACGTCGAAGCAGACACGTTTCCACAAGATGCACGTGCAGAGACACAACAACGTCAGCATACTGTACGCCGACATCGTGAACTTCACGCCGTTGTCGGAACGACTCAGCGCATCGGATCTGGTGAAGACTCTGAACGAACTATTCGGGAGGTTCGATCAAATTGCACAGGTGAGAATCGTAATATGAATATGGCGCGTTAGATGGTACGATGCCCAAGACTTCAAAGTCTCTGTTGACTGATTTTTTCCTCTAGCTATTCGCTGGTAGCCTATGCGGCTATTACAGCTACACCCGGACGGGTAGGGTCAGCTCACGGAATCAACTTTAGAGAATTTGCTAACATTAGCCCTATCAAGAGCAGTGCTTCGCAGAATCTGCCACTGGCTCGGAATCGCGACCCACTGAGAAGATCCGGCGAGAAACTCGGTGGGCTGTGTCTGAGGGTTAATTTACAGAACGATGACTGGTGCTTGAGGTACCTAAAAGTACCCTTAGTGGATCGGGAGGATCCGAAATGCCGTGTTTGGGGCGACGTCGACTGCTTTCCATTCTGTCCGCAGGATCGGGAATGTAGTTACCGGCGGCTACGATGAGAGGGTTCTCGTGTCGTGCCGCTTTATTGAAGTAGACACCACATAGCCACGCATAGTAATCTATGAAAACTGATTTACTTTCATAACCATTTTACAGTCTCGTAAAGTGTACATTTTGAAATTTAATTTCTATTTAGTTTCAAATTCTGATCCACTATAATTATTGCTTTAATAATTCGAACGGGAAGGATCCGGGTACAAAATTTAATAACAGCAATTATTACGATGAACCCGACGACTAAGTGAGCGATACTTCATTTTATTCGACTCCTGATATATATACATTTATAATTAAAAACGGTTAAAGAAATATAAGATCTATGAACATCTAATTGTACTTATTGATATAATTTTAAATAAGACTTCCAATATGTTGGTCTGTAAAAATAAAGTTTTTGGAACGAATTTCCTTATGGGACGATGCGGAGGGGTACCCTAACCGGGAAAAAACGTCCGTAACGTAAGATTTTTATTAGTAATGCACACAGTGTACGACTTAACTTTGTAGTAACGTACAAAAAATAGCATATTTTTATTATATATTTTTCATAAATCATTGTGAATAAAATAAAGTAGATAACTTTGTAAAGTAGTTTTTTTTTATCAATAAAAAATCATAATAAAAAATGTATACCAGAATAATTATTTTCTTTATACCTCGAATAGAACTTAAAATTAATATTTTTATAATAAGAAACTAACTTCGTTCCTATCCGATGTCCCACGAGACCACACATCTTTTTTTTAAATAAATACGAGTCAATACCTCGCCTCGGTTCGTGAATGAATTGAGAAAATTCGTTTAGCTTCATTTCTAACTTAGATTATAACGCCGCGCCGGGTCAATATCATAATTCGTTTTCATTTTAAAGGGCTTGTAAAATTGGAATCGGTAATCTGATTTCCAGGATTAACAGAAATTCGATCATAAATTTCCTTAAGCCTTAATTCGCCATTTTTATTGCCTTCGAAGTCAGTGACCCTAAAGTCTATGTAGTAGTGAGTTGGTCCTGTCAGTAATAGGGAGATAGCCAAGCTGCCCAAGCCTGGGGACTGATTTTAGCCTCGTTTGTAGAGCATAGTGTTGCGTTAATAATAATAAAATAATAATAATAATAAAATAAATAAATAAAGACGTATGTATGTTTATTTCTTATAGGTATCTTGAGGTGGCCAGGAAATTGAATAAATGCGTTTACTTCTTCAAATACAAATTAAATTGGTTTTAGTTATTTTACAAAAATAGAATTCACATGCGCGTCCATCTTTTTTTTTTTATTTTTATTTTTTGACAATTTGTGCCACTATTGCCTTTCCTGATTTGCTATTGGTTCGTGCGATATGACGTCATCGTTGGCCAATCACAGCCATCAATGTATGACGCGACGTTGATTCGTTAACACATAGAATGCAGCAAATAATTTATTGAAAATACCAATCTATCTTGCATGGATACAATGACATACTATTGTTTGGATGTTTATAATGTTATTACATTGACGGCAATGTTAGTAATACATTGTGCTAGTGGTAGCCAAAGTCTATGAGGTTGTTGTAGTAGTAGTAGTAGTATAAGTAGTTGGAATAACTCCTTAAACTGCCAAGCAATTAGGTAAGGAAAAAAATAAAAATAAAATACATTCACCGTCCTTAATTGAATTAAATATTCATAATTGCTAGTTTGTTCTCTAAAGAGGTAACGAATACTCAGTGTAGTGTGACAATTTGATTGTTTGTTAAAGGAAATTGTTCTGAAGTCGCCGTTTTGAATTCTTCAATGGCTTTCTTGTAATTAATTTTCAATAAAGCGTATCAAAGGAATGGTTCTTTTGTAAAATTTTATCAAATTTCGAATGCTTTCGTTTTTGGGACTACTACAATAAGCAGAAAAATCCTGTTTTTACACACTGCGTGATTGCTGTATCATAGAAAGCTAAAGATTCTCAGTATCAGAAATTCAACATTTGTTGAATGTTCATTCTAGATTTGTTCCTCGAAAAAGTGATTTAATACTCTAGAATAGTGACAATATAGGCGGGTGGGTCGCATTGATTTTTGGATTTGCGATCCCATCACCCGCTAATATCAAAATTAAATACGATCATATTATTAATTTGACAAATTATTTATTATTAGTAATCAAATACAATTACACTAACAATAAGCGATTTCGTTTCAACACATTAGAATAATAGTTTAATGGTCCACTCAAGTGAAAATGAATTCCAAACAATTTATAGTAATTAGTGTAATAAAGACAAAATACTAGATAAAGCAGAACGCTGTTATAAATAAATGACCCAAAAAAAACATTAAGCAAATCGAGCTTAATGTCCCAGAAGAAAATGAAATTATAGCCAGAATGTGGTCAAACAAAAATAATATTTAGGAACATGAATTTTAGGCGAAGATTTCATTGTCCTATTGGATCTGATTTATGGGAAATGCTTTGTTCATTCTTTAAATAAAAAGATATCAGTTAAAATGTACCTAATTGTATTTTTCTTGAATAAAGAGAAAAGTGTATTAAATACATATATTTATATGAATACCGAAATCCGTTCCGCAGTAGATAATGGTTATTGGATCTGATGGGTCCGTAAGGACGTGAGATCCGAGAGTACGTGAAGAAACCTTCTATATAGTGGTACCAAAAACTGTACCGTCTTGCATTATAATCGGATGAATAGCTTAGAGTACAAAAAATCATTTTTATTTACATTAATAGATGACTCTTGTTTCAGTTTTTTTTTAGATTCTTGTAGTCGTTAATTAAGAGGATCAGTGTTCATATACCTAGCTCACGAGATGTAGTTTCGTAAAGATGAAACTCCAATCGAATCCCGAAAATCTACAGGCCATCAAAAGGTCATGAGTCGACCACAAAATTCAACCCAAAAACCTTTAACTATTTCTAAAATGGATTGACGTCAGAAGAAGAGTTAGTAAAAAAAAGAAGTGAAGTATCTTATGGACGCCCTGTTGAAACCTAGTTCGTTTCGCTCAAGCTTTTTTGTATTTGTAGTAATAATTAAATAAAAAATAAAGTCGTATAAAGTTGTTAAAAAAATAAAAAAATGAAATTGACGCGCATGTCAATTTACCTATGTTTGTAAAAAAAAACAATAAAAATAGATAAATAAACATTAAATTTATAAACATATTTGTGTATATTATATTCTCAAAATAATAAAAATTGATAGAAACAAATTTCAGTTTCTTAGGTGATCGGGTAGTGCCTCGAAGAACAGTACAAAAATATTTCATTTTTTGGTGTGGTTTTTCATTGTGACATTTTTATCCGTCTAGCTCCTTGGCCCGCGAATAATCTGAATCTGCGATTAGAGATTCTGTTCCGAAAATACGAGCAAGAACATTAAATTTTTCATCACAGTAATTTATCGTTAAGTTGTAACAACGATTTGCTATTACCGGAGTGGTGCAGAGCCACCGCACGTCGTCATTCATGCCCTGACGGCATGAATAATCAATAGTTTTAACAAGCTGAAGAGTGATGGATGAATGTCTGTTCAATTGAATTATAAATAACGTTTTTAGCGGTTAACGACAAACGAAAGACTTCTACTGAGCGGGTGAAATTTCCCGGTAGACCGACGGTCCTGATATGTACTTACTGACTGATACATATATGCGAACTAATCATGAAAATGTAATTAACGCAATTCAGACATTTGTCAAATATCTATCAAATATGACTGGTGGTAGGACCTCTTGTGAGTCCGCACGGGTAGGTACTACTGCCCTGCCTATTTCTGCCGTGAAGCAGTAATCCGTTTCGGTTTGAAGGGTGGGGCAGCCGTTGTAACTATACTTGAGACCTTCGAACTTATATCTCAAGGTGGAAGGCGCATTTATGTTGTAAATGTCTATGGGCTACAGTAACCTCGTCTATCCATCTAAGCAATAAAAAATAAAATAAAATCTTCTTTTATTTTATAGCTTCCTGCTACACATGTTTTATTGGCCTACGAATAGGACCATTATTTAGCTTTAATTTAGTTGGAACACTAATATAGTTCATTTTATGAATGTTATAAACTTAATATTACTTTCATGTTCATAGGAAAATCAGTGTATGAGAATCAAGATCTTGGGTGATTGCTACTACTGCGTCTCTGGCTTGCCAGTTTCAAGACCTAACCATGCTTTCAACTGCGTCAATATGGGCCTACAAATGATTGACGCTATCAGGTAATTTAGTAGAACATAAGTCACAAAAGACGAAAAATCAATGTTCCCAGACAAATTTTAAACCAATGACTCTACTATAAACAGTAGTCTATTCTATCCAATTCTCCACCATTAGCAGTTCTATTCACAACGTGATATAGCTTACCACAAACTCTTAAATTTATAAATCATAGACTTCCGCCCACGTCAGGCAGATGGATGTTGTAAAATTATTGGTTAAATCGAACTGTAGCATGGTAATCGGCAGACCTCAGCCATTGAAAATAAGAGTGCTTAGAAAAGGAGATGCTGAAAAATACGTTTTTTTTTCTATTCAAAACTTGTTCTGGCTTCACTTCTTGGTAGAGAAGGCCAAATTGTAAGTTTAGTGGTTCTATGCCATCGGAACTTGGCGCTGATACATGGATGTTCCTCGGCGCTCTACTGTATGGTCCATATTTGATAAGTCCAGTGTTTAGAGCTTCACCCTTATACCCTGAACATTTGGATTTTGTATTTAGTTGAATTAATATATTAAGGTACCAAACTTTTTCTTTTTTGACCAGATTCGTCCGTGAAGCGACAGGCTTTAACGTGGACATGCGCATCGGAATTCATACTGGGAACGTCCTTTGCGGCGTGTTGGGACTTCGGAAGTGGCAGTTCGACGTTTGGAGCGATGACGTCACGTTGGCGAATCACATGGAATCCGGCGGTATTGCCGGGTATGCGTTTATGTATAATGTGTTCTATCACAAAGATTGTCGAATAATTTTTTATTATACTTTATGCCTAAACTACCAGTTATTTCTCCCTACCTATTTGCTGGTAGCCTGTTATTCCGAAACAAAAGAAATTTTCAAGTATTCCTGTAGTATTTTTAGTTAGGCTATGTACATTTTTTTATGCAAAAGTTATTATAGCACAAAATAAGCAAACACAACTCCGAGACTAAGAAAAGCTTTTCATTTTTTAAAAGTTCATTTTCAACGAATTTACTTGTGCAAAAGCGTTTGTTTCCAACGCTGTGTGACTAAGCTCACATCTCGTTATGAAGTGAAAACTTTTATTTCACAAAAGCTCTATGCTTTCTTCGTAGCAGGTAAATGGTGTTAGCTTTTTTCGTTTTAATAAGAATTCATATTCATTAACATTCGTAACAGATTTTTAAATAGAATTTTTCATTGCTGTAATTTCATATAAAGCACAAAACACAAAATGCTTAGCGTAGTTTAGCACTTCTTTGTACTCAGATAATTGATTTTTACTTTCATATGAGTCGTCTATTAACAAAGGTGGCAATCTGTGCATTTGGACAAAAAAAAATTATTGATATGTCAATACAGATTGATTTGAATATAATCGTCTCCTTCAAAGAATACGGTTCAAAACCTGCATTAAATAAAGGTTAATAGTTAACCTGTTATTTATCTAAGATGTCGTTCAGAAGGGTTTTGTGACTGCCAATGGAATACAAAGTCAATAATTCGTTTTTCTGATTTACCAATAATTGTCCAAAAGTCACATTGCCGGCTTTGATAATAGTCGACTCATATGTTACCGATCACCTAGATTTGATATAGTGGGCAGTAGTTTGGCTGCGTCCCTTCCATTAATGATGTCCTTGAGTTCTAGTGAGATTAAACAGTATAAGTTTATGGTAAATAACATTTTAAAATCTGCGATGCTCACTATAGGTGTTTTGATCCTGTTTCCTGATCAGGACTAAAATCCGAGTACAGCAATCGCGTCATGGTAATACCGATTTTAGTCCCGGATACCGGAATATTGGTTGAAGACTTCCTTTGCGTGGAATAAATCCTGGACGACATCAATTCAACTCTCGCTAATCATTAAAATGTATTACCATTAAAACTGAAACAACATGTAAAATTTTAACCCGTAAGACGAAGTGATTCGAATTTAGCTTGCAATATTTGACCTAAATGAGCTTACATATGGCATATTAATAAAATTAAAAGCTTTGTTAAAGTAATTTTAATTATGTCCTTGCGAAATGTGAAGAAGTTATTATAATATACTTACTTATCGCCAAAGCTATTAACTACAATGTCGCACGTCACACGCAAAAACATAATTAGTGTAACATGCAAATTACGAAAAGAACGATCTTATTCTCTCCCTTCTTCCTCTAGGACTTTATAATGTCAACGAAGGGAAGTCAGATCGATCAGGTCGTAGTACTGTAGAACTGCCTAGAAGGAGAGTTCTCATCTCTCTGATCTACTTTTCGTCACATCTAGGTAAAAGGTTACCGTTACAGAATATTAACTATCGAAGTCTGTTGCTCCGCAGTAGACTGCTCTGAAAGCAAATCAATTTCCATGGAGGCATGCTGGTCTCACGGTACTAAAACGTGGTCTGAATCTTCCAAAGCTTAAAACACCAGAATCTTGTTCATTTTCGCCCAAACCGTTATGCGTTTTGGTTTGAAGGGTAGGAGAGTCATTATTATTGCTTCTGGGAAACCGTGGTTACTACGTTGATTTGTCTGCAATGTCTCGTACTAATCCTCAATTTAGAATAACAAAAAATTGGTACTACTCACGGTACTACTCATGTCTAAAGATTAACAAATCAGTGAATGCGTAATGTTTTACCGCGATCTTTTCACCGCCATGAAACTGATTATTGTTAGCCATTAGGCAGTCAACTCGTCATTTCTCCAAGCCAATTACAAAAAACAAAAAAAAACATTAGCTGATTGGATGATTAACAATAAAGAATCACAATTTGTTAATTTCGTTCCTAATTCAAACAATTGTTAAACTTCAAAAGAAACAGACGGGCTATTTACGTACAACAAAAAAAAGCTTCTTCGCAAGTCTGACAAAGTTAAACAAGGTTAAAACAATTGTAATTTTTTTTTTCTTTCGCTACCGTTTGTGTGTCTGAATTAAATGCGGCACATAAAATATTTCCTTTCTGTGTTTTATATGTACATTCAATTTGATCTTAAAAAGAATTGCTTAAACGATAACTCTATTGAAGCTGAGCAAACATTTAGGTGTTTTAAAGTGATTGATTGATATTTTTATAAGATCACTAGCTGACCCGGCAAACTTCGTAGTGCCTCAATCGATAAATAGAAGACGTAAACTTTAGTATAAAATACACTTAAAACAAACAAAAGGAATCCTTCCGAGGGGTACACATCAAAGGAAAAACAAAATTGTTATTTTTATTCATTCCGAGCATTTTCATATTTATCTACCTTTTAAACCTTCTCTGGACTTCCACAAATAAGATCAAAATTAGCTAAATCGGTTCAGCCGTTCTCGAGTTTTAGCGAGACTAACGAACAGCAATTCATTTTTATATATATACATAGAAAATAGATAAATGAAAATCTATCTGAATTATTTCAGGTTGGTTTTTTTATTCGATTTAAATAAGTATATATGTTATGAATGGGATGTACCGGTTTCCAGTATGTTAAACAGAGCAAGCTTTCGTCAAAGCTCTCTAAGCCTTATTCCCATATATTTAGATGACGAAAATCATTTTATTACTGTTATTTTCATAATATACGTAGTTTTAAGTATTTAAACAACTATGGTTCTGTTTTACGGAACGGTGGTATGTAAAACGTCAATTTCGACTACTGTAGGTATTTTCAGTTCGAAATACAGTTGTCCTTTTCATTCGCTTTAAGGATAGGTCTGAAGAAAAAGATAGCGATATAATTTTCTTGGAATTTTGATTTAATTGTGTGACATTGTGTCGAGTGTCTTTTGTATCAATGACCTTTTTTTATTGCTTACATAGCCCACCTGGTATTAAGTGGTTACTGGAGCCCATAGACATTTACAATGTAAATGCGCCTCCCACCTTGAGATATGAGTTCTAAGGTCTCAGTATGGTTACAACGGCTGCCCCGCCCTTAAAACCGAAACGCATTACTGCTTCACGGCAGAAATAAGCACGATGGTGATACCTACCCGTGCGGACTCACAAGAGGTCCTACCACCAGTTATTACGCAAATTATAATTTTGCGGGTTTGATTTTTATTACACGATGTTATTCCTTCACCGTGGAAGTCAATCGTGAGCATTTGTTAAGTACGTATTTCATTAGAAAAATTGTTACCCGCCTGGGGGATTCGAACGTCGTTGCATCGCTAGATACGAATGCACCAGACGTCTTATCCTTTAGGCCACGACGACTTAACGACGATCTTGTAGATGTACCCAATATACATTAGTACTCATTAAGGAAATAAAAATTCAATTTAAAGTAACTTTTTTTAACAGGCGTGTGCACATTACGAAAGCAACGATGCTTCAATTGGGTGGAAAATTCGAAGTGGAACCAGGAGACGGTGCGTCGCGTGAGGGATACCTCGCTGATCACAAAGTGGAAACGTACCTTATTGTTCCTCCGAAGGTAAATCATAAAATTGACCACTGCTACAACGACCTTTTTTAATTTCGATAAATAATAGGAAACGGATCACCTGCAAAAAACTTATATAAAGTTAAAAGTGAGGTTATTATAAATAATTAATTATTGAAAGTTATTATTTAAAAAAACGTGAGCGGTCGGAATACGGTATACAGTTTCAGCAATGTACTTCCTTGTTATCAAGAAGATACCTAATCAAAAAGTTTCATTTAATATTTTATTGAAATAAATTAATAATATAAACACACTAGCTGTACCCATCTGCTTCGCTGGGCATTTAAAATTAACATTAGTATTTCTCACCCCCACAAAGATTCTCATCATTAACGCCTCCGCAACTGGTGTAGGGAGTCCAACACTCATAAATATGTAGCCTATTCATTAAATACATGTATTTTCTACATGGATACCAAGTTTCAAGTCAATCGGATGCATGGTTCAGTAGTTATAACATCATAACATCCGTAAAAACTACTGTTGATTTATATATTACTAGCTGACCCGGCAGACTTCATAGTGCCTCAATCGATTAATAAAAGACCTAAACTTTTGTTTAAAATAAACTTAAAACAAACAAAAGGAATCCGTCCGACGGGCACACATTAAATGGAAAACAAAATTGTTATTTTTATTTAATTCCGAGCATTTTCATATTTATCTACCTTTTAAACCTTCTCTGGACTTCCTCAAATAATTATTCAAGATCAAAATTAGTCAAATCGGTCCAGCCGTTCTCGAGTTTTAGCGAGACTAACGAACAGCAATTCATTTTTATATATTATGTAGATTATAAATATACATACATATGTAGAAAGAGATGTGTTGTCATATCTAATATATAAAATTCTCGTGTCACAATGTTCGTTCCCATACTCCTCCGAAATCGCTTGACCGATTCTCATGAAATTTGTTATGCATATTCAGTAAGCCTGAAAATCGGCTACTATCTATTTTTCATACCCCTAAGTGATTAGGGTTGTCCACCCCTACCAAAATTTTTTTATTTGGACATTTTTTTTTGTTATAATGAGGTATTATGTGGTTGAATGAGGTTTTGTTATTTTTATTATATATTCCTTCATCGTTCACAGCACTACATACCTCTTTCACTCATTTACCACATCCTTACACACTTACAATAAGTTAGTTTTTTTTTCTACACTAGAAATTCCCTAGAAATCTTATATATGGCAAAACAATGTTTGCCGGGTCAGCTAGTGTGTCTATAAAATACCTTATATCGCTGCAATCTATGCAAAGACCTTACAACACTGGAGTCTGTTCGTTTTCCGTGGACTGACTGGCGTTTCATCACAGGTTACCTGTAATAATTACGTACATAAAAAAAAAAAAATTGAGAATGAACTCGAAAGCATCCAATTGTCGTGAGTGCAACACGTAATCTAGATGCGAATGCACCAGCGAGTGTGTTCCTTTAAATTAGGTTAATTGTTTGCGCGCGATTTTTGCTTTCAAAGCTGTCCACACTGAGTTAAAAAAAACTAGATAGGCCATATTAAATGTTCTACGCACGAGACCGGTCGTTGGAAACGTTTACACAATTTTCAGTAAGCGACAAGATGAATTACAACGTCTTAAAGGTGAGTGATAAATGTTCTCTGGCCGGAATCTACGCGGATTAGCGTTGTTCTTCATCTAATTCCTAGCGTTGTGAAACACTAATGGAATACATTATTAGTTGTTTATTTATTATGAAAATTATTTTTTTTTTTTGTTACGTCATTAGACTAGCTGAATTTGATGAAATGCGATACGAATATTTATGGACACCGGCAATGACAGGGACCTGCCGTATATGTGCAGTGATACTTCACACATCCCTCATTAATTATTTGTTAATATAGCAACAGGACAATCTTACATTGTTTTATGACATGCTTTTCTTTGCTTAACAGAACGTAAGAAAATGATTTTTTTTGGTTGTACACTTTTTCTTCCCACATACATCCTATTCCTTTGGTTGTGTGATTTAGTCCAAAAACACATACAAATAGATTAAGCTCGCTTCATACATATGATTAGCATTTAAAGATGTTTTTAAATCTACCTTTTTTTGGGTAAAATCGAGTTTAAGAATAATTTAATACGAATTAATAGTTCAATCAAACACTTAGGCTACATCCACTCGAAGAATTCCCTTAACAACGTTTCCTTGAACTCCAAACGTAATTCTATTCCACGGAGGGTCTTTCCCAATTTGCATTTGATAAGCGTGACAAATTGGGGTTCCGATATCTTGATAATCTTACCACTCTTCCGATATACCTTTCAGCTTGTTTGCTATATTTCATATCTTTTTTTTATCTTTAGATTGGTGGACGAGCTCACAGCCCACCTGGTGTTAAGTAGTTACGGAAGCCCATTGACATCTACAACGTAAATGCCGCCACCCACCTTGAGATAAGAGTTCTAAGGTGTCAGTATAGTTAAAATGGCTGCCCCACCCTTCAAACCGTACTGCTTCACGGCAGACTTAATCGGGGTGGTGGTACCTACCCGAGAGGACTCACAAGAAGTTCTACCACCAGTAATGACGCAAATTATAATTTAGCGGATTTGATTTTTATTACACTTTAATTAAATGTTTTGCGTTATTCATTACGTGTAAGATTATTAATGAAATGTCAAAAACCAGTGATTCTAATTCAAGAACAATGCCATATTAAGATTTATTTGGATGCTAATTGTTAATGTTTTCAAAACTAATAATTTTAGAAGCCTTCGGAAAACGGTCGCCTCTCCATATGCACGGTAGATCGCAAAGCCAGTATTGTTTCATCGTTGTACCAAGAAACTTCGCCAACGAGAGCGAAAGACAACATTAGTCCGGTACCCTCGCAGCACAGCTTCGTTGAAGACAGCGTCAAAGTTCTCAGATCAGAGTCGATGAGAGTGGAGCCAGCGCGAACGGAGTCCATTAGAATTGTCGGTGGTAAGTTTCTGCACCTATACTCTATTCCAATAACGAAGTCCCATTTGACAGATGTTTTAGCTTAGCTTGGCTTATCAGCCCATGGACGTCCACTGCTGGACATAGGCCTCCCCCAAGCCTCGCCAAAAGGACCGGTCCTGCGCTGCCTGCATCCAGCGGATCCCCGCGAACCTCAATAGATCTATGGTAGCCGGAGACTCTTAGCACCCCCTGCCCCGCCGTTACCTTGACCGCTACCGTAGCCAGGAAAAATATCGGAGCTGCCGGGGACTGGGGACCAGTTTTTATTTGTTTCAGCCATGTGGGGGGGGGGAGGGGTTGCCATTATTGCCACGCTTGGAATGCGGATTGGCGATCGCAGTGTGCTGTTATGATACTCGGAGAACGCTGCTGCCCATTCTCTGGATAATCCCTTAGTCGCCTCTTACGACACCCACGGGAGGAGAAGGGGAGGTGTTGTTCTTTTTCGAGGCCGACACCACACGGCCAACAGACAGATATTATTATTATGTTATTGTGTGTGTGAATTAATTGTATAAGAATTTAGATTGATTGTGTATTTTTAAATGATTTTTAGGACCATGAACAAAAAAAATGTTTAAAATTATGCAAAACGTGATGAGTTACGTTCTAAGAAGTGTCAAAAGGGAGTTCGTAATTGGAATAGAGTATAACAAACGATTTAATTATGAGCCTTGAAAGCGAAATGTGTACATTGAAAATTTTGAAATGGAGTTCGAATGATTCCATACTAGTACGTACACTTGAAACTCAGAGCTCATGTGTCGAAGTTAGTGGCGGTATCGCCTTTGTGATGTCAATGGACTCTAGTAACAACTAAACAACGGGCGGGCGTATGTCCAGTAATCTAAAGCTATACAATACAATTTTTAGTACGGTTTAAATAATTCGAATTAGGTATTCGAATCGAATTTTATAATTGATTATATAATAACCTTCCGGATAAGCCAGAATTTCGAATTTTTGATTCAATTTTATAATCTGTACAACAGAATCGCAGTGCTAATGTGAGGGAAGTAAAAATTGGGAAATTTTTAATTAGCGAGCAACGAGTATTATCAGTTCATGTTTGTTGAAAGTATCTGTATTTTTTCCATTACACTTAAAGACTGCTGTATATTTTACCTGCCTGTAATATTGGCATGTGTAGATTCTATACACTTATAAACTATATGTACAATCGTAACATCATTACAATATCATTTATAACAAATTACACTCTATCCTATTCCTAAATTGAAGACCTGCGTGCTTTTTATTCCCATATCTGTTAGAACTTCATGAGCTTTGAAGTTTAAATTATCTTTTTTGTAACTACGTGTAGCAGAAAATTGCACTATCTTTTAGCTTGTAAATTGACAGAGGTAGCCATTTCTTTGTAGTTATATTTTTTTAAAGATCTTTTTTAAATAAGATTTTTGTTTAAAGTTATAAAATTTAGATCGAAAATATACATCCTTACCGATTCAATCGTAGACTAATCAAACGTAGTAATACTGGTTATTTTCGAAGCCCTTTTAGTTAATTTAATAAAAGTATACGTACTTTTACAGACCTGAGCCGAAGAGCTTCGGTAAGAGTGGACGGTCCAAAATCAGTGGCCTTTGAAAGTGGTCATGTGGCGACCAGCTCTGGTGAAGGCCTCAGCAATGGAAGCGCGGTTGCTATTAAGCCAAAGAGTCGAAGTGGTTCCATTATTGGAGCCATCAGCCCTATCATGGGAACTGGTGAGTACGAATCATGATATAAATAAGATTTGACAAAAATGAACTTTTGTATATTGATAACGAAGAAAAAGAAGCCACTTCGAATATAATGGTATGATAGTTATTGTCACTCAATAATCATCGGTTAATAAGGAAATATTAAGGTACGCAGAAGTTGCTTTTATCGCTTATGGCACCAAACTGTTTTTTAAAATTGGTTTGATGAAGGAGATACTGCACCTGTTTGAAAACATTGAAGTCAATTCCAGACTTCGACGGTCGAACAATAAAATTTATGGTAATACACGCGAGCTTCACTACGCAAAGTATTTTACCTTACACGCTGTTTAAGACAACATTAAAACAAACACTTGTATTTTTTCCCCGTACATATTCGTTATAATTGTTCCACTCTGGCTGGTAGGAAATCTTACGGTGCTGAACCTGAGAGTGTGAGAATCTGCCACCGGATCGAAATCGCGGCCCACTGAGAAGATCAGGTGAAAAACTCAGTGGGTCTATAGGTTTAGCGTTAGGTTATTCAAATTTATTATTTCTTACTTTTTTTTTTTTATTGAAAATTGCATTAGGTATTCAGAGCTCATTCGCTGATACTGCTATCCTTCTTTTAGGATTTTTTGGCATATTCAACATTTATAATTTAACCGAATTTAGTAAAGGACAAGGTTTTTCGACTGTATGTATGTTCACTGATTTCTGCATCATGGGTAGACCGATTTCAATTATTTTTTTCTTTGAAGTATAATACACTAAAAAGTTAAGTTTCATATACTATGTATTCGAATTTAAAAGTCGGTTAATGATTAATCTTTAGTGTTGTTTTGTGACAAAACATATAATAAATTAATTTCATTTGATTTGCGAAGGTAATATATCGCCAATCGACGAGATCCCGAAACGATTATTCATTCGAATGATAAGTACAATATCGATTGAATCGATGCGTTAGTTTATATGTATATTTATTGTTATATGTTTTTCTTGTGTTGTTCGATTGAGCATGATTTATTGTGGTCGATATCAATTACATTGTTTAGTTTACTCGTATTATTACTTACTGAAGAATACGATTAAATATAAAATGGGTCATTAAATCAAGAAGCACTTAACCAAGGTCGCAATTATTAATGAATCTAAAGCATAAGCTGGAATGTACCGATAGAAAGGAATTTTCTTTCTTTGTCGTGTTTGAAGACTGGCGGTTGTCTATTTCCGAGCTTAATCTGCTTGATTATAGTCTATGGTCTATTTTAAAGTATGGTAAGGCATATTAAGCACTCAGGTAGCTTGTAGTCCCTAAAACACTTCACAAGTTTGTTCACAGTGAAGAATTTCCCGTTGAATAATGTACCATAATTATTCGATCGATAATTGGCCACAACTCTCAAAGTATTAAGGCATAATTATATAGACATAATTATAATATAAATGAAGCCCTATTTTTCAAAATGCTGTTTTACAAATAAAAAAAATTGTCTTATTAATTGTAATTGTAGTAACGTTTATTTAAAGAATAAATTTTCGAAGAAATAATAGTTTATTTCTGAGATATAAATATTTAGAGTTATTGGTGGGAATCTAGCAAGTATACTCTCTCGTGACTAGTGAAAATAAAAGAAAAATACAAATAAATAAAAATAAAAAATATTATTCAATACGCAGATTGCTTAATAAATTTGTGTAACCTAGTTTTTGTTTGTGTCTTTGTTCATCTTCGTCATTTTGTGTTTTCACTTATCAAAGTTTAATATCTCATAATTTATTCAATCATTAAGACAATCAAGGGTGGTTTAGAGTGAGGTAGTATTCCTTTTTGAGAAAAAGAGAAAAACATTTTATAAAATATTATATACGTCTACTAACCCACACACACGCACACACAGTGTACATATATACACATTACAGACAACAACTTACGTATTATAATATGATATCACATTTTTAGACGCGAATAAAAAATACATATGAATATGCATGTATATAATATATAGTATTTGGTAATCACGGGTGTTCCGATTCTTTTCAGCTACTCCCGGGATTCCTTCGCGATCTCGTCCTTCGAGTAGAATGACAAAATACGTAGAATGTTGGGGAGCTGACAAACCTTTCGCTAACATAACTGATTCTACTCTAGCGAAAAACATTGGAATCTCTGTGAGTATTGCTTTTATGAGTGTTGAGATATATCTTAGGCCCGTGATATCATTCGTAGTTCAAACTAAAAACTAGAACATTTAAACTATCAATAACCATTAACTCGTTATTTCAATCATAGTTTTACTCTCTATCGGAGTTCAAAGTTTAAGCGGCCACAATGGAGCAACTAAACTGTCAAATTGGATTTAAAACATTTTAAATCAAATTCTCTTCAAAATGGCCGCTCGATTCAACAGCTGTTTGTTGTTTTGTGTGAAAGTGTCCATCATTATTAATTTGTATTAAGTTAGCGTTGCCCTATTAGATTCACTAGTGGTCCCACGGTAGTCGAAATTCGACTATAATTAATTGAAATTATAAGTTTGAACATTATGAGTAGAGTGTAAAATCTTAAATTTTAAATTGTAGGCTCTGTATCATAAAATCGAATACGCTCAAAAATATTGTTGACAAAAAAACACGACCCAAATAGAAAATAATCCTGTTCTGAATTTTAAAAAAATCGAAATTGGAATATTTTCAAAATTGGCAACACCAAAGATTTACTTAAAATTTTGAGTAATATTTTTTGTGAATTTGTATATGTAGAATCCAGCTCCAGATTAACTAACCTGGATCTAAAAAACAGGAGAATTCTTCCAATTTAGATTTCGATTATAGTTCATCTTCACGTTGCGGCCGAATGCAATATTAATTTTAAATCGCAAATAGACAGCACCATAGATTACAAACTAAATAAATTGATTTTATTTTTTCAGAGCTTAGCAATGATCGAACAGAACTTACTGCCTCAGCGTACCAATTGTTGTGATTGCAGGTGAGTTTAATTAATATTACACTTGCGTTTTTAAGAGAAAACGTCGAGTAATTTGAGAAAAATGTCTATAAAAAATATTGACCTCCTCGTCTCTCAAAACTAATTCACAAATTTACTAATTTCTGAATAAAATAACTATTACATGGGCATACAGATGATAATTATACTCTAATGTTAATTTACAGTAGCAAATAAATATTTGGTCTAATGAAATCATTTCACGAAGAAAAAAAAACAACGGAATATGCAAAGGGAAATAAATGTAACCGTGTTTTTAAATTTTAATATTAGAATACCAAACAAATAAATTTACGTTTACTATCGTTTCATGACGTCACGTTTAATAAAGTTAATTATTAAGCCTAATTGATATCTCTCCTAACGTTTAGGTTTTTGTGAATAATGATACGATAGCAAGGGTTTACATTGTGGTAGATGCCGGGCGTGACGTGCGGCAGCTTGTCCAAATATTGGACAGCCAAACTGAAACCGATATGATTAGACACATATATAAATGAGAAAATAGGTAGGCAGCGGCTCGGCTCTGCCCCTGGCATTGCTAAAGTCCATGGGCGACGGTAACCACTCACCATCAGGTGGGCCGTGTGCTCGTCTGCCTACAAGGGCAATAAAAATAAAAGAAAAATGTTTGAATACTACATACAGTTTTCAAAAATCCAAGTCAAGGAAAAGAAAACTTGTCTTGGAAAAAATAAATAAAAAAAAATACTATGCGTGTTAATAATTCAGCGCTCACTCTTTTTTTTATTACTTGGATGAGTGGACGAGCACACAGCCCACCTGGTGTTAAGTGGTTACTGGAGCCCATACCTTGAGATATCAGTTCTAAGGTCTCAGTATAGTTACAACGGCTGCCCCACTCTTCAAACCGAAACGCATTACTGCTTCACGTCAGAAATAGGCAGGGTGGTGGTACCTACCCGCACGGACTCGCAAGAGGTCCTAACACCGGTAAAAAAGATACTTCCACAGATACTAATAAAGTGCGTCGCAGAGCAACCAAAGTTTTGGTGATCATGTAAATTTCTGATTGATGCTTAAATAAAAAAATAAAAAAAGTACATTTCGGATCTTGATTATAGTTCATTATTGTAGCAACAACACCGAAGGCATAAACCGTGTGACGCTCTGGTTCAAGAACAGCAATCAGGAACGACAATATAGGAACCAATCGGACACGCAGTTCAAGTATAACATCGCCTGCGCATCGCTACTGTTCACTTTATTGGCATTCACCCAACTACTCACCGTACCGAAGTAAGTACAAGAGAATCATTTCGGTCAATGTTCAACTCGTACGGTTGACGAGCAAACGACTAGCTAAGTAGCTCCTCACTCTTTAAATCAATCAGTTACTCGTTCACTGACTCACTCATTGTTTAATAATTAGAACCAGTGAAATTGTGGGCTATGAATATGTGCTGGTGGACTATACCTCCCTGCATTGTATATATCGATATGATTAACAAAAAAAAAACAAAATGTGTGCAATTCACACGTGGTAGAAGTGAAACCTTCCAAAATTAAAATACAATTATCCTAAACGTCTTAAGTATATGTAAAATTTTGTCATTAGTAAATTGATAATTGATGAATTGATATTTTAATTTCACGTATAATCCTAAATTAAAATTCACTACAAGAGCTTTCATACACACGTTAGTATTAAAAAATCTCACAGATGGCGCTGTATTAAATAGTATGTATATTTCTGTCTCATTCTTTGCTGGCTTCATCCTACACATTTTTGTATTTGTGTCTCTTACCTGTCGTTTTTTCCGTTGCATCCGGTTTGAAATCACAACGATTCTAAAGAAGTTTTCACTTCAAAAATGTAGAGGAAAAAGTTTGTAGGCGTGTCAGGTCAGATTTTATTGTTACCTTACGATAGCAAATACGTTATAAATTAATGTAAAGAATTTCTACGACAAATTATGGACATACGAGATTAATGAAGAATAGCGGCATATACAACCCATTGAATTAACGCTCTGATTAAAATAAACTGAGTCATCAAAATTATTAACAAGGTCAAGTAAGTGTGTACAGTATTTGAAATATATTAAAGATTTATAGCAATACAGTTAGATTGCAAAATGAACTGTTTAATATACGGTTTTATTTAGGTAGGGAAGCCAACAAGCCTGGCTAACTTTTGATTTGATTTGATTTGATAAATGCGCCATCCACCTTGAGATATAAGTTCTAAGGTCTCAAGTATAGTTACAACGGCAAAAATAAGAAATAAGGCAAAAATAAGCAGGGTGGTGGTACCTACCCGCCGTCCTACCACCAGTAATTACGCAAATTATAATTTTGCGGGTTTGATTTTTACTACACGATGTTATTCCTACACCGTGGAAGTCAATCGTGAACATTTGTCGAGTACGTATTTCATTAGAAAAAATGGTACCCGCATGAGATTCGAACACCGGTGCATCGCTCAACAAGAATGCACCGGACGTCTTATCCTTTAGGTCACGACGACTTCAGAACTTAAGAAAAAAAGGACTAATGTCTGATGACCGTATAGCTTAGCACTTAGACTGTTCTTTAATGATTAAATGACACCTTTAACTTCCAGGGGCATAGTTCTGTACGCGTCGTTCGGTCCAACGTTTGTAACGTTGCTGGTATTCGTGTATTTGTCTTGGTATGATGATAATCTCTTCAAGAGGGGCCTCCGTCCACTCTCGGATGTACCGATCATGGACGACTTATACGCCGACACATGCACAAAACCTGGACAGGTAAATTGAACTGGTGTTTTTAAGCAACCTGGCCTATTACTTTGAATAGGTGGTATTGTGAGCTAGCACTTTTTTTTCAACCTAAGCCGATAGCCCTGAGAGGCTATTTCAGCGTAACTTTAACTAGTAAGTGAGCTCACACGGGCTCAAACCTGACGACGCTGCTAACACAAACCCTAGCAAGAGCAGTGCTTCGCAGAATCTACCACCAGATCAGAAACGCGACCCACTGAGTAGATCCAGCGAGGAACTCAGTGGGCTGTGTCTGTGGGTTAATAGAACAATGACCGGTAAGCTCGCACAGACAAGCATCAACATTCTGCTTTTTCCTGCCACGTAGTAGTTAGGCATTTTGGTTTGAAGGGTGGCATTGTTTAGGCAGATTTCGAACTCATGTCTTAATGTTGGTGGACACAGCCATGTCTATGTCTATGTCTATAACTACATCAGATGGGTCGGGTTTGTGTCCAGAGGACTAGTCCTAAGCCTACTCAGGCCGTAGTGTGATTTCTTTTTAAACTCGGTACTCATACAGCTTGGACATCAGTATTGAAGCTAAACCAGCTTAATATAAATCGATCTTTGGGCAGCTGTTAGCAAATATATAAATATATAAAATCTAGACGCGGACACCGTTATCATTTGTATCATACCGTTTGTTTTTATTTATTTATTTTATTTTGTTTTTAGGTTGTAGCTAGCAATCGCTTCATAAGGCTTACGATGTTCCTCGTGTCCGTCGCACTGATTGGAGCCTGTGCGGTTATCAATTTGGTAAGTTTTACTGGTGGTAGGACCCGTTGTGAGTCCGCGCGGATAGGTACCACCGCCCTGCCTATTTCTGCCGTGAAGCAGTAATGCGTTTCGGTTTGAAGGGTGGGGCAGCCGTTGTAACTATACTGAGACCTTACAACTTATATCTCAAGGTGGGTGGCGCATTTACGTTGTAGATGTCTATGGGCTCCAGTAACCACTTAACACCAGGTGGGCTGTGAGCTCGTCCAACCATATAAGCAATAAAAAAATAAAAAAAAAAGTTTAGAAACTCATGAAGGGTGCACCAGTCTATTTTAACTTACGTAATGTTTCAAGAGTGTGTTATTTCTTTCGAAATATAAATTTATTAGTATTAATGTAAAGATTAGGATAAAACAAAAATTGCAATTCAGACTGTTTTTTATCCTTAAACGGAGCTTGTCTCTCGTGTTTGATTACTGGAACTCATAGACATTAAAATTAAAAACAGTGGATACAGCTGATATAGATTCGCATTACTATTGTAAACATTGTAATTGTCGCACCCTTTAAACCGGAAATGCTTTGCGACAGAAATAGTTTTAATAGAAATAGTTAGTAGTAAATTTGTGGTATTATTAAAATTCATTTGAGGCTCAGGCACTAGCTTCGAAATGTTTCTTCAGCGCCCAGCTGCCTTCTCCTTGTGTGAAGTTTCTCACATTTCAGCTAGTGATACTTACCGAATATCACAATAAGAACTCTGTTCCCAAAACCGGGTCGTGTAGTGCGTTTAACAATAAATGGTTTTTTATTCATTAAGACAGAGCTAGCCACAGTGGACCATCATCTGACTTTACTATACGCAATATTCAATTTTTCCAAGATTCATTTGTTATTTCTTCATTAATTCCAGTTCCAAACGTACGTATTCGAAGAAGATTCAATCGAATTAACGAATGCGACTGAAAACCGAAACATATCGGAGGAATTCAACATCAGCGCCGCACCGGTCGAAGAATTGGCGAGGTTCAATCAATTCGATTCGGCGCCGGTGAGTTCTGAAAAAAATCTCAGTATAAGTCAGATATAAGTCCCACTTTTTATGGTACTGTATGGGCAGACGAGTTCACGACTCCTTCGGCGTTGACCGTCTACCGTGAACCCACAGAACTACACCTGCTGTTGGATACAACTGGTGGTAGGACCTCTTGTGAGTCCGAACGGGTAGGTACCACCGCCCTGCCTATTTCTGCCGTGAAGCAGTAACGCGTTTCGGTTTGAAGGGTGGGGCAGCCGTTGTAACTATACTGAGACCTTAGAACTTAAATCTCAAGGTGGGTGGCGCATTTACGTTGTAGATGTCTATGGGCTCCAGTAACCACTTAACACAAGGTGGGCTGTGAGCTCGTCCACCCCTCTATGCAATAAACATAAAAATAAATGCGACTTTCTTACTAATTTATGACATCATGTTATTCTTTCATCTTCGAAGTCATTCGCGAATATGAGTTAGTTGAAAATGGGGCCTTTTTGGGTTTGCGGTTCGCTGCGAGTACACGACCCGTCTTACCACTGGGGTACAAATTCCGAGCATTTGCTCGCCCACCCGTCCTGGTGAAACTGGAAAGGCCTTCTGGCCACCAGTAATCTTTCAATCATAAAAAAAAGGTACAAACTCCTTTGAAGGGTCCAAATTAAAATTGAATTTTAGTGCAGTTTGTCCACGCACGTCTCACGTGGCCCATATCTTCCAGAGCTACGTGTATAGCTCGGTGTTCACTCTGGCTTCCATCTCGGTGTTCCTTCGGATCGGCTACGTCCTCAAGCTGCTGATGATGTGCATCACCCTCGCCGCTCACATCACGCTGTTCGTCTCTGCCGAGGTCTTCAGCGAATATTTTAGCGGCGACATGGAGTATGAGTGAGTAATTCAAATTTCAGAGAGAGAAAGAGAGAGGGAATGTACTTCATTGTACACTAAGACACAATATTTAAAAAAAACCAGTGAGCAAGTTTAGTATATACATTTGTACCTACAATAGGCGGCCTTCTCGCTAAAAGCGATCTCTTCCTGGCAACCATTTAATTTATAGAAATTCTGTAAAAGATAAAAATACAGCAGGTATGTTGCGGTCACAATGTCTGAAGACAAAGGTCTATAATCAGTGCGTCCTACCCGTGCTTACCTACGGAGCCGAAACATGGACACTGACTGTGCGACTAGTCCACCAATTAAAAGTTACTCAGCGAGCTATGCTCGGTTTGTCATTGCGAGACCGAATACGCAATGAGGTCATTCGGGCAAAAACCAAAGTGATGGATATGGCTCGCAGAGTTAGTAAGCTGAAGTGGCAGTGGGCTGGTCACATATGTCGCAGAACCGATAACCGTTGGGGTAGACGTGTTCTGGAGTGGAGACCGCGAACCGGCAAACGTAGTGTAGGACGCCCTCCTGCTAGATGGAGCGACGACCTGGACTGCCGCAGGCTGATGATGATGATGATGTTGCGGTGTACTACATTAAACATTATTAAAGAAAATACATACATACATTTTTACATACATACATATATACAACAAATTTGATTGTGTCGTTTCGGTTTCTAGTCTAATCAGTTGAAAACTTAAGTTCTTACGTGTTCATTTAAAAAAATCTATAATGGTGAATATGTTGAGCCGGGCCAAGCGTTGGCTTGTGACACATTTATCTCTCTTCTCGCATGACGTCAGTGCTAGCAGTTCGAATAGTTTTGCTACTGACGTTATCACGGAAAACTATCGTCCGTAAACCGATTTTACAGACACACACAATATTATTTTTTTATGAACACATTTACAATTTGAAAAATTATAATCTTTAAAGTATTTTGGGTGTTCTACAATTCACAATCAACGTTCATAATCAATTCGAGCGTCCATGTAAACCAACCACTTTATACACTCACACGCACTTACACACATCGACACAACACAATCAGATTCAAACTTATTCTGCAAGTTATCATTCGACAAAATTTATCTACCTATTTAACTGCCTTACCTTTACCTTAGTTGGACTACCTGAGTTCACTAATCATGTTAACATTTTTTGGAAACATAATGTGTTTCTTTAATTGGCTCATGTTTGTGAAAACATCCTCTGTACCTTGTGTCTAATTGTTGATTAAATAAATAAATAAATAAACAGATACGGGGTGTAAAGCTTTGTTAAAATTACTAAGCTTTGTAACGAATCAGAATTTCTCCACAGCCTTAGTATTTTTATTATTCTTTGTACTTAAACGTCTTATTAATCCAAAATCACCAGACTAGGCGCAACTGAGGAGAGATGTGATTAGGCGGCTAATTGTTCAAAAGCTATATAAATTGTACTCAAAAAAATGGGCAGATTTCGTTTGATTTCGCTAGGAGCAGATATACAAGAGTTGTCGGTAGGTATAGTGTTAACACACTTAAGTACTTGTTCAAACGCGAACTGTTCTATACTGACTGGAGCAAGGGTTTCATAAACAGCCACAGTTGTCAAAAGCATCGACTTAACTCAGCGAGCTTGTCTATTTTCTTACTGATACATTGTCATTGATTTTTCTTAAATAATTTTTGAGGTTCTCCATGTTCCCGTACGCCGCGAAGACAGGCATGATCCTCATATTCTTGGCGGTGCTGCTGCACATCCTCGACCGCCAGATAGAGTTCACCTCCCGCACTGACTTCCTCTGGAAAGACAAGTTGAAGTTCGAACAGGAGGAAGTCGAGACTATGAGAGGAATTAACAAGGTATGCATCTTTATCGACCTTTTAAAACGGTAGAATCCGCCGTTTATGTACAGTCAAGAATAGTAGTAAAAACAGAAATGAGTAATAGATAACGTGACCATTTTTTTGACCCTCAATGACATCTTAAATCTTACTCCAACTTGCCCTTAATAATATTTATAAATTACTAGCTGACCCGGCAAACATTGTTTTGCCATACCTATATAAGATTTCTAGGGAATTTCTAGTGTAGAAAAAAAACCTAACTTATTGTAAGTGTGTAAGGATGTGGTAAATGAGTGAAAGAGGTATGTAGTGCTGTGAACGATGAGGGAATATATAATAAAAATAACAACACCTCATTCAACCACATAATACCTCATTATAACAAAAAAAAGTGTCCAAATAAAATAAAAAATGTTAGGGGTGGACAACCCTAATCACTTAGGGGTATGAAAAATAGATAGTAGCTGATTCTCAGGCTTACTGAATATGCATAAAAAATTTCATGAGAATCGGTCAAGCGGTTTCGGAGGAGTATGGGAACGAACATTGTGACACGAGAATTTTATATATTAGATTGCGCAACAAAAAACTACTACTAAACTACAAAAAACAGCAAAATTAGAGTTACTATATTTTGTAATACAATAAGGCTTTGGGATAAGTAAGTATTTGGTAAGTTTCTAATAAACACATGCACAACAGATAAATGAAAGCGGAACATTTTTGTTCTCGTTGGGGACAGCGGGACGGACAGCCTCAAAGCGGGACTTATTGTCACGTTAGTAATAGAGCACGAGCCAGCAATTTGTAGAATTCTATTCTGTCTGTTTGCTCGTTTGTTCACCACATCTACGGAACTACCGAAGCAATTTTCATAATTTTATTATAGTATTTTCAAAGATAGTTAGGAATTTGTGATAATTACTTTGTAACTTTAGATTTTAGATGTCAAATAACAAATGCTAGTAATACTGATTCACGCTAAGCCTCTGAACCGATTTAAAGAATATAAGCTAACTTTTGTTCTGCTGTTAAGATAGGCTTTCGCCCACGCAATGTTAATGTAATGCTGCGGCGGAAACTGTAGTTAAATAAATATTTCTAACATTAAGATCGGTTTTCAGTTTATAAAACTATTTTTTGTGTCGACTGTAGTGTGTCTAATACCTACTTGTTTTCCTGGAAATTAGATTATGTACGTAACCTAGCATTTTTTTCGGTCTTTCCGTGTCGTGGACATAATCAAAACTACTTTAGCGTTATAGTCTCGAGTCTTTAACTGACATAGGTAAGCGGTAGGCAGCGGCTTGGCTCTGCCCTTGGCATTGCTGAAGTCCATGGGCGACGGTAACCACTCACCATCAGGTGGGCCGTATGCTCGTCTGCCTACCAAGGCAATAAATAAATAAAAAAAACATTATATTCTTTTGTTATGTTATACGTTAGTCTTTGAGAAAACATGTACTCAGCAGTAGACTTCAGCGGGCTGATGTTGATGTTGATGATGCCTGATGAGGAATTTGATGCTTGATGATATTTTAGTCAAAACATGTTTTTTTTTAATTCCAGATTCTTCTTGAGAACATCCTACCGGCTCACGTCGCTGAGCATTTCCTCACGTCAGTCGCTTCAGAGGTCAGTTGTCTTCTATACTAATCTATACTAATATATAAATCTACAGTGGTTTTTACGGATGTTCCGTTATAACTACTGAACCATGCATCCGATTGATCTGAAACTTGGTATCCATGTAGAAAATATATGTACTTAATGGATAGGCTAATATTTATATGAGTGTTGGTCTCCCTACACCAGTTGCGGGGGCGTTAATGATGAGAATCTTTGTGGGGGTGAGAAATAATAATGTTAATTTTAAAGGCCCAGCGAAGCGGACGGGTACACCTAGTTTTTTATAAAAGTTAATCTGAACTTAAATTTTAATCATGAAATTTGTTTGTAATTTTTTTTTGAGTCCCCATTAGCTCTACTATGAGGTGTTTCAGGATTATCCATTCTTTCTGGGACACCCTGTATAGCCTTTGGTTTGACCAACAGGAGGACCTTTATCACGAGCGCTACTCGAGTATAGCGGTCATGTTCGCTTCGATACCGAACTACAAGGAGTTTTACGACGAGACCGACGTCAACAAGCAAGGGCTCGAGTGCCTGAGGCTGCTCAACGAAATCATATGCGACTTCGACAAGGTGAACCGTCCACTAGTGCACAATAACGCTTTTAGTCTTTATACGTCAAAAGTACGCTTGAAAACTGAACGAAATGTGAAGGCGTTTTTAAACAGATGAATCTGGTCAAGATGTTACCTATGGTGTCAACAACCTGACGTTTTGTAGTTTGTTAAAATTGCGTTCAAATTTTTTAATAGATTCATGTCGTGCTCATAAAAGCGTGTCAAAAAATATGTGATCTAATAAACTGAGCTAGAAATGTATCACGTTCCGGTTGATTACCGCGTCCATTGCCACCCATATGGACAGACATCAATGCCAACGATTATCCGGAGACGGAACTACTTTGCAAAGTTTTCTACTCCACGTTCCAAGCACAAATGCAACGTTAGAAACAGATAGACGCGCACCTACGCATATAGTCAGATTCTATACCTATATTCTATATTATTTTAAATGTGACTTTTTATAACATCACACGCTTATGTTTTTAATAAATCTCATTATATCCGTTGCAGTTACTCTTAAAACCGAAATTTAGTTGTATAGAGAAGATAAAGACAATAGGAAGCACGTACATGATTGCGTCAGGGCTGAGTCCCGGGAAAGAAGAGCAGATCGTGAGTCATTTTATTTTTGCTAACGTATATACGCGTACCTATTGAATCTAAGTAACCAGCGTCCATAGACACGAGCCGCGACGTGACGCCGCCACTCACTAGGTTGGTTTGAAGCTTCTATAGCTTTCGCACAAAGCACTGTACGCCTTACCGTCAGTAAAGGTCTTTGAATGTTGTCGTGGCCTAAAGGATAAGACGTCCGGTGCATTCGTGCTGAGTGATGTACCGGTGTTCGAATCCCGCAGGCGGGTACCAATTTTTCCAATGAAATACGTACTTAACAAAGGTTCACGATTGACTTCCACGGTGAAGGAATAGCATCGTGTAATAAAAATGAAACCCGAAAAATTATAATTTGCGTAATTACTGGTGGCAGGTCCTCTTGTGAGTCCGCACAGGTAGTTGCCACCATTCTGCCTATTTCTGGCGTTGAGTTTGAACTTATATCTCAAGGTGGGTGGCGGCATTTACGTTGTAGATAACGTCTATGGGCTCCAGTAACCACTTAACACCAGGTTGCCTGGGAGTTCGTACATCCATATATGCAATAAATAAATAAATAAAATTCCAGGAATATTCCAGATGTTAAGCTAAAGCTAAAGAAAATTTGTACGCAAAAGTTACCGTGGCTAAAATTAAAAAAAATCTTTTGCGGTGAATGATCAAAAACAGCTCTTTGGTTCTGTGGTCAATGAAAATGCCGTACTGTGCGGGATGCATCGCACATCTCGATTATATTGTTTTAACAGGATGCGAATACACGGGAGGAGCACACGGTCGCGATCCTGGTGGAGTTCGCATTCGCGCTGATGACCATACTCGACCAGATCAACAGGGAGTCGTTCCAACGGTTTAAACTCAGAATAGGTGAGTTTGGCGGGCAGTTGTACAATGTTTAAACAATTCATTTTCGAATTATTTGTTTTAAAGCGAGATCTCCAGCCACGAGGCAATTTTTGAAGTTGTACTTCTTTAGGCGCGTTATGAAAAATTGATGAGAGTGAAATTTTACGATGCGCGCGCACCGTGACACAAAATTAACAGAATGAAGTTGCCCACAATACGACCTACGTAACTTGGCGAGTCTGAATATAGCCGCAGGTGAAATTTCGCACATGTACACTCGTAAAAAAAGTGTTATTAGCATTCACTTTTTAGTAATATAAATGACAAAATTATGATTTAATATAATGCATACTAAATATTATTAAATTATTAACGTTAAATATTTATTATTAATAATTTAATATTTAAAAAAAAAGAAATAAATTTAATAAAAATAAAGTATAACTTCTTACACGCGTAGATAAGTACACGCACCCTTTTTTTCCATTAAGGATATTATTTCTTAAATATTTGAATTTAAGAAAGAATACATAACAATAAATATATAGATAATTATTAATTAATTTAACTATGGTTTGGAGAGCAAGGTATTAGGTATATGGTTAAGTTCTATCGAAGGAAGTTGTGCTTACGGGATTGGTGACCGTAGTTGATGGTCATTAGGGATGTCAGGTGTATATCTGCAGTCGCTTGGATGCTTCTATTCAATTCAAATCTAGTTTAATGACCGACATAGTACCATAAACGGGAGTTAGTATCATAACCGGATGGAGTGGTAAAAACCCTGAGACTGTGGGTGGTGAGGAGTGGTTCCATGTTGGAGGAATTAATTCTGCTCCAGTAAGGGGTAGTGCGGCAAAGCAAGATGACAAGATCATCCTAAACAATTGCTCAGAGCTTCCCCATGGAACATACCGTAGAAATAGTGTTTTTTTGTCTTGTTTTCGCGAGTCATCGTTTTTAATGGCAATTTTTTTTTTCTGATGTTTAGAATATTTGACAAAAATCGTGGTCACGGTGGACCAAGGTGTTCTTCGTCGACATTCAAATATTGTGCTAACTACCGTACATTTCTCTTTAAAGATATTCGCAGACTTTTAAGTTTCATTTCACATAAAACGAACTAACAAAAACTCGAGGTCTGACAGTTTGTTTGACTTGCTTTTAATTTTCACGATAAAAGGATCCCAGCTGTTAGATACGCGGTAACCATCGTCTCTGTTAAAGGTGGGGTGTTTTTAGGCGAGATTATAAAAGTTGTTTTAATTGTACCGCACAAAACAAAAAGATACTCATAATTCTTCCATAGACCATGAGGTCCCGATGATCACGCGCGATTGACATGTATTATCTACCCAGGACTAAGTCACGGGCCGGTTATAGCCGGGGTGGTGGGTGCCCAGAAGCCTCAGTACGATATATGGGGCAACACCGTGAACGTCGCATCGAGGATGGACTCCACCGGCATCATGGGAAAAATCCAAGTCACCGAGGACACCGCTAAGTAAGCACTAAACGATTATTGCATTATTATGGTAATTCAGATGACAATTTAAACTAGATAGATACGTACCTGAAAAATCTGCTAGTTTCTGCAGCGAAGCAGACACGCATTCCAATAAGAAGGGTGGGGCAACCGTGGTACTATACTAACTAACTCATATTTTGGACTCCTGTGTGCTTCTGTGAGTTTTTTAATGTTCTCTATAGCGTAAAAATTAACTCAAGTTTGTATGCAGTTGGAACAGCGCTCATAGCGGCAAACGTAGGCAAATGTTCCAACTGCATACAAATTTGAGTTCACTTTTAAGATATCGAGAAAGTTAAAAAACTCGCACTACACACACTGTTTCTAGCTGGGTGGGGGCACTTACATTGTGAAGTCTATGGGCTCCACTACCCATTTAGACACGCATACCTGCATGGACATAAGTCAGTAAAAGTGTATATATGTAGTTAGACTATGACGTTTTCATATATGTATTTTTTTAATACAGAGTCCTAATGAACGCCGGATACAAATGCGAGTGTAGGGGACCGACATACGTGAAGGGCAAAGGGACTCTTGTGACATACTTCGTGAAAACGCCTAATGTTGGTTAAGGAGGATATTAGTTCTTAAAAATATTGTAATTTTAATTAAACTTAAAGTATCATGTAGCATAATTTCTCAATTTTTCGATGTCTAGGCATCAAAGACAAACTGACCATAGATTTTTAGTTTTAAATAAGTATCTTGTTTTAGTGTTCTTGCCAAAGTTATTTTTATAAGTACACAAACTACGAGTTTAGTCTTATGTAATATGTATGTTTATTTCAATTGTTATTATTATTATTAGTCCTAGGTTATTAAGCTTAATTAATCCGATTCAAATAAAAGAAATACGTTTTGATAAATCGATTTTTTCCATTCGAACAATGTGTAGTAATAACCGATCAAAATACTTCTTAATCCAACTCTTCCTTTACGATTATGACCTTTTTGTTCTAAATGAGCAAACAAGCTCAAAGCCCACCTGTGTGCTTAGTGCGAATTTTTTAATGTTCTCGACAGCGTAAAAGTTAGCTCATATTTGTATGGAATGAAATCGTTTGCGTACGTTTGCCGCTAGGGGCGCTGTTCCAATTGCATACAAAATTGGCTTAACTTTTATGCTATCGAGAACGTTAAGAAACTCGCACTAAGCACACTGGCATTAGATTACCGGAGCTTGTAGACACCGTAATATAAAAGCCATCATTTTGAGACATGAGGTCGAAATCTCGTAACGGTTAATAGCGTCCCGACTTTCAAAACCGAAACGCTTACTTCTTTGCGGCAAAATTCTTTAAACTACCCGCGAGGGCTTAAGAACAGATTTGGTCGCGACGAAGCAAATAATGAAGATGTTTTTTTTCTTTATTCCCTACCTACTCGCTGGTAGCTTAAGGGGCTGTTTCATCAACACGCGGACGGGAATAAATAAGAAGAAGGAATATTATTTATAGTGCCCGATGAGTATAATGTACCTATTTAATGCGCAGCTATCGCTATTCGGCGACATTTTGACAGCAAGAAATTTGCCGTCAAAAGAAATTAAATAATATGTTAGAACGAACTATCGAAAACCATACGATATTAAATATTTAAAAAAGCAATCTGGGGCTATTTGATTTAGATATTTTTTTTCGACGTGTAATCATTGATCGATAATGTTCAATAGGTACATGTTCCTTTTCAATAATTCATAATATTTTATGTCTACGAGTAGGCTATCTCGGTGGCTCTCAATCATCGGGATATATAGGTGTGTTATTTTAATTATTGTTGCATAAATAAGGGGACCGAAGGAATTGTAATTGCAAATTTTGACAGTTCAAAACTGTCAAATATTTTTCCCGCGATTATGTACGCAAGGGTGACGCGAATTTGTAAATATTATAAAAGATTGACAGCTGCTGGATGGGGTACATATCCTTTTAGTAATATTAATATTTGCTTGCACCGTCATTTGTAATGTTGTCATGCAAATGCAAAATATTTAGAAGATCAAACACTCAATAGTTTGAAAATGTTGTTCTTTAATCAATAAATGTTATTAGATGCTTAGGCCGTAGAATTATTTTTATATTTGCATTTAAATACATAAGCGATTGAAGTTATTTTTTTAATTTATTGTTTAATATGTTAGTGCATAGTTAAAAAAAATAGCTTAGTGGTGCTAATAAATTTTCGTTTCAATTAATTATGTTAATCTCACGACATAATGACATATCGGAAAGGTATGGAGAATGTTGCGAATGTTACGAATTTATGTTAAAAATTGTTCTAGTTACCTTAGTATTATTAGTCATCAAAATAAACATGAACTACGTATCGAAGTACAGGTAACCTTTCTATAATACGGTATTTTACAACACGATTCCACTTTAACACGAAAAGAAAATTTCCCCAAAACTCTTTTCTACAACACGATAACGAGATTTTGTTTAATAAAAATAAGGCAGGATCAAGTGGAGACAACTTGTGAGGGCCCAATGTACCAGCGGGGTACCCTAGGACAGCAACAACAACATAAAATAATAGTTTAAAAAAACAAAAAAACACGCTTTATATAAAATTCAACTAAAAAATAGAAAATCATTTTAATAAATTTAAATTGAAAATAGTGTAAAAAAATATTTTTTATTTTAAAAAAAGCGTGGTGTGCTTTTTAAGATATTATTGAAATAATAATTCTTCTACTCATATCTGTCAGAAAAATATTTATAACTATATTATCATCGAGATCTACGATCGATGTATATTATAATAACACCCACGCTTTTTTTACAATAAAATATTTTTTTTACACAATTTTCATTTTAAGTTTATTAAAATTTATTTTCTATTTTTTAGTTGAATTTTATATAAAGCGTGTTTTTTAGTTTTTTTTAAAATATTATTTATTTATAATTTTTTAGTTGAATTTCAATTTATTCAATTATTTTTTTAAATATTGAATTGTCATCGGTCCTCGATAAATCTACAAAGTTTGAATGAAATCTGGCCGTTTAAAGTGGGTCAAAATCGCGTCTAAAGGAGTCAGTTACAAACAAACAAACATACATACAAGTGAAGCTAATATAAAGCGTGTAAATTTTTTTGCCTCCACCGCCTTAGGCATTGATTTTGCCAATGTCACAGTATGCTAAAAAATAGCAGGTGCTTAGAGAAATAAATATCTAAATACAAATAAATTTGATCAGTTTTTCCATACGCGAATCTTTAATTTTAAGAACAGCACAAACAAATATGTTAGACTAACTACTTTAAAGATAAATAATAATATAGATAAAAATTTACATAGAATATTTACATGGTTAGAATATACTAAAATTAATAGAGAATTATTATTAATAGGCTGGGGGAGGATTTTTATTTAAAATTATTTAGAAAATGACATTACGCACTATGAACACAATTAAAAGGAATAACCGAAATTTTATTGATTATTTTTTATGTATAATAGTTAAAAAAAGACTTAGAGGCAAAGTTTTTCACTTTCCCCCCTTTGCCTTTTCATGGGTTCTGTCTCATGCGAGGTTCGGACGCGGGTTGTTGAGCGACAGGAGGTTTTAGTCAGTTCGACTCCGACATGCCCCGCCCTTCATCCCCAGGGGAGGGCGGAAGTCCGGCGATTTCCTCCTGACAAAAAAAAAAAGAGGCAAAGTTTAAATGTTTCATTGAGAAAAATTATTCTCTTTTTTGTACTGGCTTCTAGTCTCATATAACATGGTTTTGCACAACACGGGACTGTAGGGACGTATCTACCGTGTTATAGAAATGTTACCTGTACTGACTGTTTGGTAGGTCTAAGTATTTTGAATAAAATCGCCACGTTAACTCATACTCTGAAATAAGCAGCTGTGTTTCGATATTGCAATGTGCTTTTCAACTCCAGATGAGTCCTTGGTCATAGGCAGCGCTGTGTTTGTACTCTTACCATTGCCTATGTCCATGAACTATAATAGATGCTAATTAAACAAGTTGCCAGATTTCGCTCGCAGTAAAATATCGTTTGTCAATAGTTTTTATTAATTTTATGTGTGACAAACATTAGCATTTAGGGTTTGACAAATGAATTAGCATGATTTATTAAATTTTATAGACATGTAATTGTTATAGATAATATTATTTTTTGTGTACTTTGGAATAATTATTAGTTTGAGATTTCAAATTTTTTTTAAAAAATTTAAAAAAAATAATTTAGTCCTAATCTTTAGGATGGCTAGCATAATTTTATATTGATATGGCAGATGTTATTATACTTGTATTCTACTTTTAATTTTGTATCTAGGCCCAATTATAAAAAATTCACTGTACAATTTTGTAGAAAAAAAAAAACATAAAATTTGGAAAGTATTCTAAAGATAGTAAGATAATGTCAAACAATTATAGTAACCCTTCTTTCAACAATACAGGGCAAATACATACCTTGGCTATCATTTTTTTGCCTGTTCTATCACAAAATAATATGTTAATAGCCGTTTAATACACAAAAGGATTGATATTCAATAGTATTTTATTTTTTAATGGCTTTAGTCTTGCTGCAGAATTATATTATATCTATAGTTTCAACATATTACTTTCTACATTTTATATATTTCACTCTGATATTTGTATTTTTTATGACTAACTTCCAGGAGTTCTGTATTGATTTGGTAAAATTGTTTCAAATAAAATAATTAATCCATTTAAGTCTTTTACTTAGTATGAATGGTAACAGAATAATTAAATACTAGTTGACCCGGCAGACTTCGTAGAGCCTCAATCGATAAAAAAAAAAACATCCGACGGGGACACATCAAAGGGAAAACAAAATTGTTATTTTTATTTAATTCCGAGCATTTTTAATATTTATGTAAACTTTTAGACCTTATTTGGACTTGCACAAATACTTCAAGACCAAAATGAGCCAAATCGGTCCAGCCATTCTCGAGTTTTAGTGAGGCTAACAAACAGCAATTCATTTTATATATATATAGTAGAAGAAGATAGAAGATAGATTTAACCAATCAAATTAATAAATATTTATTATATAAATATAGTATACAACCAAATATAGCATATAATCCACACAGGTACGACCTTCTTCCCTATTTCTGCAGTGTAATGTTTTGTATTCCAGTTTGATGGATGGGACAGACTTTTTCAACCTCAGTGTCTCAAAATGGGAATCAGCATTCACTTAATATCCACGAGCTTCAGGTTTGTATTGATACCCATATGACCATAATTTTATCAACTAAATAACTATGGTAAGATTTAAGCTTCATTATAACAATATTCCTGTTATGTGAGCAATATTTTTTTCTTAACATTAGTTCTTAGATTTATCAATTATTATATCAAGCTTGAATCTAAATAAACTTAAAAGAAATAGGGTCAGAAAAGTTAGACAGAATTATGTATTAAAATAATTTTATTTGGTTGGGTGAAGACCAATTATTTTAGTAAAAGCACAAATTTACTGGACATCTTACGAGTTCACAAAGTAGGCACCAACACCCCACCTGTTTCTGCCGTGAAGCAGTAATGCATTTCAGTTTGAAAGAGGGTGGCAGCCTTTGTACTGTTAAAACTGAGACATCACAACTTATGTCTAAAGGTGGGTGGCGATATTTACATTGTAGATCTCTATGGGCTCCAGCTACCACTTAACACCAGGTGTCCATTTCAGCTATAACGAAAAAAAAAAATACTATTCTTATGACTGTTATGCCTCTGTGATAACAAAAACTGTAAAGTATTTGAAGCATCAGGAACAATGTAATGATAACAATGTAACCCAAGAAAATATTGTAAAAGTTAAATTTCAAAATTATATTGGACTGAACTGAGGAAGATGGATAAAAATCAAACCAAAAACATTGGTATCTAATATTTATTGTGTGTATAAATTAATCATTTCTACTTGGTACTACTAAATTGAAAAAAGCTGTAGCTTCGTTTTACTCAACATTACGATCTGACACATATCCGCCAATGGCGAATTCTGCTGATTAATAATTCATTCCGACAGTAGAATGAACGCTTTAAATTAATGAAAAACGTGATATACTTACAAAATAATTTATTAAAAATAAGCTGTACTATTGCACAAGCACATATTAATAATGTTAGTACACCCACTTTTTCTCAAGAAAGTTCACATTTCGTTCTTTCACAATGTCTGACCAAATCTTTTAATTTGTATACCAGATCTTGCAGCTCTTGAGTTCCACAAGTGAACCTAACGTCGCCTCCATCATCAGTCTTCAATGTAACAGTATACAACACATTTTCCGAGCTTGCGTTGGGCGAGCTTGTTACTTCTAATTTCCATTCGACGTCAATTACATTAGGCAAAACTTTGACAATATTGTGAGAAGCCATCTCCTAAATGCTTGAATGCCTTAAAATCATGTTTAGAATGTAATTTAGATATTCCACTTTTTGTAATAAAACTCGTTTTGAACTTGAAATTTCAAAATGTAGTGGTGAATTATTCAATTCCATTTTTGACTTTTGTCACCAATTTTTAGACATTGATTAAATGTAGTGTTGACAGGTGACATCAAGCAGTTATTGACAGTTTAATCTCTTACTTTCTTCTTTTTGTTGTGATAGAGGGATTGCTGGTGACATAGACGCCACTACAGCTTCACCAGAATAGGTGGGTAAGCACTGGCTCAGCCACGGAATAAATAAATAAGGTTGGAATGGTAATGTAGGCGGGGCAAGCGTGCCACAGTTATGATCGAACAAACATAACTCGACCGATTCTTTCATTCATCGCGTTTAGTGCGCTTCGGAATACTTGGGCGAACAGATCTCCGCTTTATAGTGCCGTGTTGTGCAATTATAACTTGTAAAACAAAAAATCAGACCTCAAGTATAGAGCGAGGAGGTATATCTTTCGATCGGTAAGTCGAAATTACCATTTAATTACAATATTATTTGTCTAAAACATAAAAATATACTGAGCATTATGAAATTNGACTTTTGGACAATTATTGGTAAATCAGAAAAACGAATTATTGACTTTGTATTTCATTGGCAGTCACAAAACTCTTCTGAACGACATCTTAGATAAATAACAGGTTAAGTATTAACCTTTATTTAATGCAGGTTTTGAACCGTATTCTTTGAAGGAGACGATTATATTCAAATCAATCTGTATTGACATATCAATAACATTTTTTTGTCCAAATGCACAGATTGCCACCTTTGATAATAGTCGACTCAATTATCCTAAACGTCTTAAGTATATGTAAAATTTTGTCATTAGTAAATAATTGTAAGGTAGCGCCCTCTGTGAATTGATATTTTAATTTCACGTATAATCCTAAATTAAAATTCACTACAAGAGCTTTCATACACACGTTAGTATTAAAAAATCTCACAGATGGCGCTGTATTAAATAGTATGTATATTTCTGTCTCATTCTTTGCTGGCTTCATCCTACACATTTTTGTATTTGTGTCTCTTACCTGTCGTTTTTTCCGTTGCATCCGGTTTGAAATCACAACGATTCTAAAGAAGTTTTCACTTAAAAAATAGACTAGAAAACAACGGTAAAAGAAAAACCGATTCGCCGCTTATTTTTATAAGGTATAAATAATGATGACAATATTCGAGAGGGTTAAAAATGGTTATCTGTCTGATTATTAAAAGAACTGTCTTCCATTACTTTATTGATATTTCAATCCAGTAAAAAAATAACTCCACTCAAAATATCATCTTGGGCACACACTGCAGTTGGGTAAAAACAACAAGAATACAGCTGAGCAGCATACCACAGTAAGCTGAAGTGGCAATGGGCTGACCGAATTAGCCGAAGGACCGATAACCGTTGGAGTAAACGAGATTTTGAGTGAAGACCGTGAATTAGCAAACCTAGTGCAGGACTCCCTCAGCCTGTGACGATTTATACAGCGTGGCTAGCAGCAGATGAATGAGAGAAGCCGAAGGTGGTTCTGAGTGGCATGCAATTGGAGAGTCCAATATGTCCATCACTGAACTGCTATAGGTTGATGATGATGATGATGATACTTTGTATATTGCTCTCGTCAGGTCCTTACTGATTCACATTTGTTAGACGGTTGTAGCTCTAAAGATAGGCTCAGACACGGGGACCCTGGCAGACGTACTCTTCGAGCTCGAAGAGTTCGACGTGAAATCTAGTAGATTGCATCAGACCGCTGAATTTCTCGCTCGATCTTCTCAGCGGGTCGCGATTCCGATTTGGTAGTAAATGGATTCGCGATACAGCTGCCCTCGGCAACAGTCAAACGTTTTCAAATTTTAAAAACGCAAAAACACAGTTTACTGTATTTATACAAGTTTTTAATTTGAAAACGTGTTGATTGTGATTTTATTGAAATGGGAATCGTGTCAACCCGTTCATTGTTGTCTACTATGAAAAACAATAATATAGCCCAAAAACAACTTTATTTTCTGCCGAATCCTTTGTCCCTGCGCTTTTTTACGTGTTTCTTCGTTTTAGATTTCCTCCTTTCCGCCTTTTCTTCCTTTATGGCTTTCTTTCTTGATTTCTTGCTGTTTGGTGACTCGTCTCGAGGACGTGCGCTATTCTTGAATTTTGTACCTGCAAATGTGGATGTTTTTAATTTATTCTGACATAAAAATGCCATTACAGTTAATAAGACGGTTAAAGCTTAATACATTCATGTCAATTTAAAATGCGTTTAATAGTTTGAAACGCTGGGGAATCCTTTTACGGATACCCGGTCGAGGGGGGTAATAGGCCGGGTTATCACGATGAGGAATACTGAAGACCAATCTCAAGGTCTCTTCTTTCAATTCCTGCCGGGAGACTAAGCCTTGAGAAAGGCGCGCGGCTTCAGCCACGCAAGGCCCGCCCCGCAAAACCGACTACTGACTAAACCATAAATTAAATGAAAATTAATCTGTAAAAGAACATCCAACCTGATTCTTCATCTCGATCTTCATCGTCAGAGCTGTCACTACTTCCACTAACATCATCTTCTTCTAAAATCTCCGGTCTGTTGGCAGTTCCTGACAGGTCTTCTTTAAATCCTGCTATTTTCTTGTATGTTAAGTCCTCTGTGTCACCCTTTTTTGCTTTACTTATATCACGTTCATAGTTTATCACCTGTAATTGAGAATTGGAAATTACAGAGCACTTTAGGTTCCACCGTCAATGCGAGTTGCAGCATGTAGCAATTTAAAGTTTGAAAAGTATCTTATTAATCAATTATATAAACAAGCCTGTATCTTTAAAGAAAAAAGGTAATTTTGTAGGATTAAATTTTTTCCATGATTAACTTGTTAAATGATTAAATATTTGCTTGTGCCTTGAAGTATTTGGATAAAAGTTTTGAATAACGATCTACAATACATCCCTTGCAGAATCCTTTTACAAATGTACATCATTTTTAATAGGACATGCTCACATTTAGGTCGCTTTTAGTAGGATATAGTAGGATAAGCATTATTAAAATTCAAAAAAGCATCATTTCATTAACAATCTACACATCAACTATGATCCCTGTGCGATAATATGTTGTATAGGTTAATATAAAGAAAACTGTCAATTTATAAGCTTCATGAATAAAAAAAGAAACAGATTGGCTCCATACTTGATCAAATAATAGTAACTTTAATATTTAAATTGAGATTCTATTACAATGACTAGATGAGTTTGTTTAGCCATCTATGTCCTATTATAGTAACAATTTCCCACTTTCTTTACTTTTGGCAAGTACCAAAAACAACTTATTTTTAAGGATTAATCTCACGTCTTTTATGTAACAACAGTTTTAGAACCTTCAGAGAAACATATTTAAAAAAAGGACAAGATTAAACATAAAAGTAGTTTTTTGTTGCTGCTAATCATATTTTTAGTGTTCAAGAACAGCTCGTCTAATCAGTCAGTCGTAACAATAGCCATTTATGGGAGAGCTATGGATAGTAACAGCCTGTTCACATCATGAAGTCTGCATACTTGTTTGCTTTGTCAACAAGCATTAAAAAATATAAAGCATTAAGCAAATGTTAGCATAATGCTGCTTTCAGACTACACTATAATATAATATCATATAGTATATTATTATAGCTCATAGCACAGCACATAGCATAGCATATCGTGCACCATACGTTGTTATGGACACCTTCACACTGTACGGTACTATATATTATTGAATAAGTATAAGCAGCTTTAAAAAATAAAATATCTTAATTTTTACACGCTTTATATTAGCATCACTTGTATGTATGTTTGTAACTGACTCCTTTAGACGCGATTTTGACCCACGTTAAACGGCCAGATTTCATTCAAACTTTGTATTTTATCGAGGACCGATGACAATACACTAATATGATAAGATTATTCCATTATTCAATTTGCAAAATAAGATTTTTTCCAATTTATATAATTTTTATCTAGTCAATACGGCAGAAATTGATGTTAAAGTACTTAATAGTTTTAAAAATACACTTTTATAGAAAATTTAACTAAAAAATTAAAAATAAATAATAGTTTAAAAAAACTAAAAAACACGCTTTTTACAATAAAATATATTTTACACTATTTTCAATTTAAATTTAGTAAAATTTATTTTCTACTTTTTTAGTTGAATTTTATATAAAGCGTGTTTTTTAGTTTTTTTAAACTATTATTTTTTATTTTCAATACCTCAGTAAGTCTTTTAGGAATGTAAATATTTTTAAATGCCTCTTCTTCAACTTGTTCTTGTGCTGTCATATCCTCAAAGTTTCGTGAAGCCGCTTTATCTGATAACTTCTCAAGGCATTCTTCTAAATTATTCACATTTATTGATGAGTCCGTTATGAAATCAAACAACTCTTTAACAGTCAATGTTGCCACACCACGTTTCCTGAAGAAATCTGATATGTTCGTACAATCCTTCCTTAAAAACTCAAAGGCATGTGGATGATCATGTTCAACAGACTGTGATACGTCAATAACTACGGCATTCCCTTTGTGGTACAGCAAGTTGTACTCAGATAGATCAGCATGTACCAATTTACATATATTATACATTTTCCACATCATTGTTATGCAGTCTCTATATAATGACCTGGCTGTTGACTGTGATATTTCGACATCTTTTAATTTAGGCGACGGCCATCCTCCCTCACCCATGAAGGTCATAACCAACACATGACTTCTTAAGATTATAGGCTCGGGCACATTAAGTTGTGCATTGTACAACCTGACTAAATTTCTCATCTCCTTCTCAGCCCAGGTGCGAACCATTTTACGTGGATTGGATCTACAATAGCCATTTCGGAATCGATATTCGCCCGATACATATTTGTCTCGATCTTTGAACACTAATATTGATGTTTTGAATATCTTAATGGCAAAGTCCCGTCCGTCTTTTGAGGTAGCGTGATACACGTTAGCTTCTTTGCCTGTAGATATGCAGCCATTAATTTCATTGATAATGCCTCTATTTAGTAGTTTGAATAGGATCATTTTAGTTCTCGGGTCCATGACCTGTTCAGCTGTGGCTCTATCATGTTTGTCTTTAATCCTAATTCGCTCATTATCTTTTTTTCTATCATTCTGATCGATAAACTTCTCAGTGTTGTTTGACATGGGTTCATATTTGTCTACATTTATTTTGTTTATGTATCTTTTAAAGAGTTTTTCTGTGGGTTGATAGGAAGTGAGCTTTGTTGTTGGAGCTTGGCTGTTGAAGTTATCTTTTTTCTTTGTACCTTGTGTAGGGTCATCCGAGTCAAGGAAATATTGATCTGAATCCAGTTCATTATTATCATCCTCATCATCATCATCATCATCATCATCATCATCACTACTTATGTTCTTGATCTCAGGTACATCTGTAAACTTTAATATTAAATTTATTTAAATACACCTAATAAGGAAATTAATTTCAAAAGCAGAAATTGAAGAGCCCATCAGAACAGAATGTTTTTGAACATATGATTTAAAGATTCCTATAAATGTTTTAATAGAAATAGATTATTATTACTTTTTGTCTGAAATAGGTTTCTGCAATTATAAGTTTGTCACTGGTTTTAAAAATAGAACAGAAGTATGTAATAGGTAAAAATGAGAACAATTTTTTTTCAATAATCAGTAAACAGCTGATTGATAGTCTTGGCTGTACTACTGACATATCTCATCTCTATGAACGACGTTGAGCACCTATCATCAGGTTTGCTCATATGCTCGCCTGCCTTCTACGGTAATTAAGAAAACCATGTTTGCAAGTTTCAAGTTTTTATTTTCATATCCAGACGTGTTTTTGTGCACCTAGAGAGTTACAAAAGTTGGCGCTGTACCTTATTTTAAATTTCATTTTGTTGGGACATTAATTTAATAGTGGTAGTAGAATAATAAGGTGAAAAAAAACTCATGAACTAAGAAATATCAAGATATTTACATACCCTTACGCACTTAACCTTTAAAGAAATATCCTCTTCGTAATCACTAAATTGACCGTCTGACATTTTATTTTTATTAAAAGGATATGATTGTTTTAGCTCAAATCGAACAGAAATTAACAGAATCTCTTAAAAATCTCCTTAGATATTATTGCCCATGTGGATTATTTTAGGGACAACTTTCTTTGCTTACTTCCTCGTCAAATTGACGGATAAAAGAAAGATAGCCCATACAGCCAAATATTTTATAACAAAAACCGAAGCTGTCTTGCAAAAAGAGTAAAATGAAACAGATTATAGAAATAAAATGAAAATAAATGAGATAAAACAACACCGTCGATTTTGGATGAAATTAGATGAAATACCTCCTCAATATAATGTTAGGAATTTATTGATAGCTCAGTTGACTTATGAAAAAGCCCGAGTAGTCATGTCCAATAATTTAATTTTTTATTTTTCCACAGATTTGTACTTTTACAAACGCGAAATGGTATTGGATAGAATGGACAACTATTAATACAGCGGGAGCCCGCTGGGTGCAAGCTGCGTAATACCGGTTGTTGTGGCGAGCCTTAAGGGAGGCCTATGTCCAGCAACGGGCGCGTGTGGGCTAATAAAAAAAAATACATGTTTACATGTTTAAACCTGAAGATGTATTAAACGAACAAATGAAAATTCGCTCCACTCGACAAATGCCTATGACATTGCGAATGGTAGCTAGGTACATAAATCAATAAATAAGAAAAACATGTAAAGGCTGATTTAAAATTGTAACATGACATGAATATAAAACCTATTTAGATAAAAGAGTTCAAACTTTTTCAAAGAATTCAAGATGACTATAATGAGATTGCAGTCTCAATTAAAATGTACAGCGGCAGTTTTATTCTTTAGGCCGCGATTTTTGTAAAACGCCTTTTCTTTTAGAATCTGAATGTGCTTTGCAGGTTCATTATGCTTACTCATAGATAAAACAACGGTCGACCTCTAGATAAGACGATATTACACAGCGCAAAATAGTTTGGGACATCTCTATAAAACTTGACAAGAAGATTTTAAATTGTGGTCATACTATTATCTGCACGTAGCGGCTGCTGCTCCTGACGGATATGAGACAATCGAATCGCGTAGACGCTGTAATGGAATAAATGCTTGTAATTGAGGGGGCAGATTTGATTGGACAATGACATTCAATTCAATGTCAATTTGCGTTGCGTTTTCTTTGTATTGTATTAATTTAACTCTAATTGCATCACATAATTGTCGCTAAATTCTTTGAGTTCCGTACATATATTTTTCTGAGCGCTACGTGTCTTACTTCAATCGGACCTTGAAAAAGCGCTTGGAAAAGGACATGCTCTGAATTTTGTTGTTTGTTTTTCGGTTTATATATTTTAATAACTCTGTAAACCACACGTGTGGGCTTCTTAAATTTTAGAGTGAGGAGATTTGAGTGAATCTATTTTAGACAGTTCTACTATCGTCTGCATTTAATGTAATAATAATAATAATTGGGAACAAATCACGCATCCAGACCCAATTTATGATTCCGTATGATATGGTTTACCAGAGACTGACAAACATACATACGTTTAAATATATAGCAATAACATAGACAAAAGTAAACAAACCAGATGATGAGATGTGAGAATCGAACCCACAACCCTTAGCGCAACAGTCAGGATGTTAACTATTGCACCACCGTGTCAGCAGGAATTTATTTATATTTCTTCAAATACATTTTAATGCCAACAATGCTATTAGTATAGACGAAGAATAATAACGGATCCAACATTGAATATTTTGGGATTCCTTAATGACTACATTACTTTAGTACATATTTTGCGTTCTATATTATTTGTGTTCGATTTACTAAGCACGATTGGATACCTAGTTTTGTACATTCAATCCCGATCTCTTCAAGTTTCTTCATTAACTCGATAACATCTAAAGACTTTATTAGGTCTACGTAAAATCACTAAGCGCTATTTTTTGGTATTACATCTTTGTTCAAATAATATAATGTCTCTTCTATGTTTATTTAATTTAATTTTGCAAGACCATCTGATTCTGTGACTTCGAACGTTGCTTCGTGTTCTCTACTGAATCCTTTACGAACCCCACGGAAGCAATGTGGTCATAGTATTTTAGGTTAACCGCTGGATATGAGAAACCCAATGTCCGCAGTACATCAGCCAGTAAAAGAATTACCATTCCAAGAATTAGGTAGTTAGTTTAGAGACGAGCTAGTCCTTAAAACACCTTGCAGATAAGTCAGGACTCGGGACCACATAACGTCACCTTTAAGACTGTTTATACTAATTTCCGACAGGTCACGGTCAAGTTTCAAGGACACGACCTTTAGAAATGATGAAAGCGACGAAGAAGAAAAAAGGTACGCGTGGCAAAGTATGAAGTATGAACCATTCCTACTCCCCTCGGAACAAGTTTTTTTTAATTTTTTTTATTGCTTAGATGGGTGGAAGAGCTCACAACCCACCTGGTGTTAAGTGGTCACTAGAGCCCATAGACATCTACGACGTAAATGCGCCACCCACCTCGAGATATAAGATGTAAGGTTTCAAGTATAGTTACGGTGGTGGTACCTACCCGCGCGGACTCACAAGAGGTCCTGCCACCAACTTATTGACAATCGGCATTAGTATGACATTAGTGAAAGGAATTCGGTAAATATTTTAAAGATGTAAAATTGGCTGTTGTAAATGATATGTCTCTGTTCGCAAAATTATATTAATTGTATAAATAAATCATTCAATGCGTATTTTTTTTTTGTATCGATTTTTATTTTAGTTCCTGCAGTTCGAACTGGTTTTTCACTTCCGATTCATTAGTATTTAAGTAGTTGATAATAATAAAAACTAGTTTTTGTGCATTATTTGACTACACTTAATTCCTGTCTTAAGGTCTTATATTTTTTTTATCTAACAATTTTTTTTGTTGACAATTAAATCAATTAACTGGGTGATTTCAAATTTCCAGTATCCTAGGAAGTGTGATGAGGATGTTTTATGTGTGGACAAATCTGCCAAAGGCTGTCCAATCTGATGAAACAGCATCGTAAGCTTGACCTTATTAGCCTTAAATATGATTCAAATTGATTTCAAAAGACGAAGAGGTTTCAAAGAAATCTGTTTTTTTTTTTGGGTCACATTTAACATCGACACATCAAAGACTGAATGCAAGAAACAATGCTTAATTCTGAATCAATTCCACCAGCAAGGTGATAGGCGCATATTTAGAAATGCGATCAGGGTTGTTGGTGAGCCGGTATATTTTAATATCGATTTGCGGTCCGTATTGTACGCCTTCGAAAAGTAGGTACGTTATCTAACCAAAGTGGCTTTATTACTGCAACGTCCGTCTGGTATAGTGGTAAGTGACATGGTCACTACACTAGGGGGTCGCGGGTTCGAATCCCGCCAAGGGAAGATATTTGTATGATAAATATCAATGTCTTTTCCAGGGTTATGGATGTATATTAAATATATGTATGTGTATAATAAAAATCTTACATTTATTTCCGTTATCTGGTACCTACCTGTAACACAAGTTCTTTACGAACTTATCACGGGACCAGTTAACGTGGCGTGATTGTTAGTAAAATATTTATATTTATTTATTTATTTATTAGTCTGAGAAAAAAAGGAGGGCTTTTAGTTGTGTTACTGTTCAAACCATTGTTTGTGTTTGCATCGCATGCGGCTAAGAGTTGGACATGAAACCTAGTCCATAAACACAACCTGCTGAGTTTGTCGTCAGATCTTCTTAGCGAAACACTGCTTGCGAGGGCTTGTTAGCGAGTCCTTCCAGGTTGAGCCCCGTGAGTTCATCTACCAAAATGTGCGTGGCTGGAATAGCCACACGAGGCTACCAGAGATTAGGTAAGAGAAATAATGTGTTACTAATCATGACACGCAAAGAAATGGCTTGGGCTGCAAGCGGCTGCATCGTGGCTACATCTTCAAAAGTTATTAAAGGGATGATGAAGCACTACGTGGAAATCAACAATGGTCAATGATATAAAAAAAGAAAAAAATCGCATGAAACTATACCCGGCGCGTTTCGCATAAGTAAATTGAGTTCATAATGTGTTATAGAATGATCATGATATTTTTGTCACTGAAATTCATTGTATGGATTTTAGACTTGGACTGACTTAACGTGTTTTCAAATAATATTGTTGTAGAAATTGCTTTTTGTACCTACAATCTAATCTACTACCTACTATCTTATAGTATAAGATGGCCTTATTTATTATAATAGTAATAATTTATAGTCGTCGTGGCCTAAAGGATAAGACGTCCGGTGCATTCCGGTATATAGCGATGCAACGGTGTTCGAATCCCGCAGGCGGGTACCAATTTTTCTAATGAAATACGTACTCAACAAATGTTCACGATTGACTTCCACGGTGAAGGAATAACATAGTGTAATAAAAATCAAACCCCCAAAATTATAATTTGCGTAATTACTGGTGGTAGGACCTCTTGTGTGTCCGCGCGGGTAGGTACCATCACCCTCCCTATTTTTGCCGTGAAGCAGTAATTCGTTTCGGTTCGAAGGGTAGGGCAGCCGTTGTAACTATACTGAGACCTTAGAACTTATATCTCATGGTGGGTGTTGCATTTACGTTGTAGATGGGCTCCAGTAACCACATAGCGCCAGGTGGGCTGTGAGCTCGTCCACCCATTTAAGCAATAAAAAGACCGTGGAAGTCTATTGTGAAAGTTTGTTAAGTGCGCATGTCATTGGAAAAATTAGCAGGCGGGATTCAAACACCGATGCATATGAATGCGCCGGACGTCTTATCCTTTAGGCCACGACGACTTCAAACAGATTCTTACATGTTATTTATTGACCTATTGACAACTCAAAACAAAGATTTTGTGATTTTTTTCAAGCTGCCACTTTGAGATTAGATACATTAACAGCCCTATTTTAGCCCACTGTTGGTCATAGGTCTTTGGACATAAGTCTCTTTTAAAGCACGTCACGCGACCCTAGTCACGCTGAGTCGCCCTTAGATTATGAACCCCAATACTACAATGACTTTATTTTCATCGTCAATAGCTTTGTTTGCAGTTAAACATACCTCGATTCGCCTCTCTCAGTATGCAGCAATAGGTTAACGATTTGGTTCTTCTCTGTGACAGTTCCATCTTACATAAACTTCGTTATTCACGAAAAATAATGCAGAAATTTTAGAACACCACCAGCTGGGTTTTTTTTTTGTGACTAAACTTGCAGCAGGTGATTAGTCACAGAAGCCAACTGACCTCCATCAAACATTAATTAGCGTGGTTAAACAAAAAAGTACCAGTCAAGGCAAATAAAAGGGAAAAAATTGATTTAAGGTACCAACTGTCTGTAAAGCCGTGTTAATTAATATCTACAAATTTACTGATAAAAACAGTCGAACTCAAAAAAGTCACTTCCTAATGTAAAGGACAGCCTGTAAAGTTTTATAAATAGGGCTGTTACGACTTACTACAACCAGGAAACTTTTACCATTTTAATAGCCTCAAAAGGGCATATATTTTTGGTATCTCGTTCCAAAAGGAAATCAATACCTTTACTTTTAATAACACTGCAAAACCAACCGGAAGCTTAATAGCCTTCCAAATGAAAATTTCCATTCAAGACTCAAAATTTTGAAAGAAAAAAAAACTTAACTTCTTTTTAGGAATACCTACTTTAGGATGCTATGCCTTCTTGCAGAAATTCTTGACAGTGTGACGCTAATCAACGCACTGGTATTCAATCAAGCAAGAACACATATCGCCTTTATCTTATCCTCTCCGAATGACTTAAAGCAGCAGAGAGAGACGTATTTTCTAGCATGAATTTAAAAAAAAAAAAAAATTAAATCAGTTGTTTGTTTACGTTAGTAATAAAAACTGCTAAAACATAACCTTACGAAGTGAATTGACGTCGTTCAGTTGTATTTAAGAAGGCCACGTATTGACTGACGAGCCAAAACCGCGGCACTGTCTCAAGCGGCCGGCCGTAGCTCTTGTTCCTATCAAAGCTTAAACCGAACAAATGTTATATATTTAATTTCGCACAAAACCAACTAAAGTAGATCACGATGCCTGCCGATTCAGATCTTATAGTCGCCGAGAGAGAGGACTTGGGAATTGATAGAACCCTCTACAAGTCACTCTCAGAGAGATCTAAGCATGAAGATTTTATCAGGCGGGCAGTGGATTTGCTGGTTGAAAGGGTAGTGTTCGGGAGGTCCCTGAGGACTTCTAAGGTGGTGGAATGGGCTGTACCGTCGGAGATCAAGAAAGCCATCGACTTGAAACCTAGAGATGGGCCCATTTCTCACGATGCACTTTTGGGACTCATGGCTGATGTAAGTGTAATTAAAATAATTTGATGGTTGTGTTTGGAAATGTAGAAACTGCCAAAATGATTGAAAAGACCAAGGTTTTAAATAATTTAATTTTCAATTTAAAGTGTTCGAGAATTGAATAATTTAAAAAATTAAAAGTAGGGTAATTTATAAAATTACAATATATGGATTTTTGTCTAATTATATTTTGTTTGTGTTAATTTTCTATGTAAATAGATTTTTTAATCGAAAACAACCGTGAAATCTAATAAAAAACAACTGTCTCTAAAGCAGGTAAAATTAGCAAAATCGTATTTGCTGGCCCAACCATAATAACTTAACTACTTAACTTACTATCCAGACTTAAAACTCTACGATAAACTGTAATTGCACGTTGCATTTAAAATTTAACACGATCTTGCATTTAATACCAACCTTCACAATTTTTTTAACTACTGTAACGTTAGTTGGTGTATTCAAATGAATTTTAAAATTTAAAATAATATTTCTCTTTGACACAGCTATATGACTTTGACAAGAAAAGGTCACTATTATATAGTTTAACAATTATCTTTCTAAGCCCGTATTTTTGTTTGATTTTATTGGTCACATTTGTTGACGTATCTGGAGTTGAAGAGGGTTAATGCAGACAAGTACTTTAAGGAGGAGATTGTACAGTTTATTTTGCTGTTAAAAACTTAGTAAACTTTTTCTGTACCCGCGGCTTAATCAGTTTGATATTGAATTTTGATCCGTAAAATAAACTTAATGTCTTAGAATCTTCTTTAATAAGCACTTTATGTAACTCGGATACAATTTTAAATTTAAATGTCGATCTCTCAAGCGATTTCCTGCAAACATTTTGTAATTGTAACAATATAATAATATGAAACTTATTGAAAAGAAATTGACACACATTGACTATTTTTATCGATTAAAGAATTTTGTAGAATTTTCTTTGCTGAAAATTTGGCGCGGTTTAACGCAACGGGTACATTTATAAAAATCAATAATTGTCCAATTACGATTTTACTGTACCGGTATCAACATTTTATAAAACCCAATTCTTAATATAATTCTCCAGGTGGCCCGATATTCCGTGAACACAGCCCATCCGTATTTCGTAAATCAGTTGTATTCATCCGTGGACCCGTATGGCTTGGTCGGACAATGGCTGACAGATGCCCTCAATCCAAGCGTGTATACCTATGAAGTTGCACCAGTTTTTACTCTAATGGAGGAAGAAGTGCTAAAAGAGATGAGGGTACTCGTTGGATGGAAAGACGGAGAAGGTGATGGTATATTTTGCCCGGGTGGTTCCATTGCCAACGGTTATGCCATCAGCTGCGCTAGATTCCATTTCTATCCTGAAATAAAGGTGAGTAATGCTTAATTTTAATATTGAAGAATGTATTTTCATGTGAACAAAACATTTATTTTCAATGTTACTGAAAATCGTAACAGTAATAATAAATCAACTGCAATTGATTTAACCTGTTTATTAGCCACGTAAACAATTATGCTGGGAATAAAATTAACATAATTTCAACAAGATTACGTGAAAAAGTAGAGAATCATTTAAAAGGAAAAGTAATACCATTTTAAGTTATATAAGAAAAACCTGCATTGATTAAGAGAAATTGTATAGGAATTAAATTTCAATTTAAAATCAAATTCATAGTTAACATCAAAAGTCGAAGTTTCGAGTGTATACCGCACCCGTGACTTAGTGTGGTAATGCTAGTATAAAAGATCGAACACATTATTTTTTAATAAGTCTTTCTTAAAACGACTAACGACCATTTTCATTGATCGATGAAAACTGAACACAAAATTCAAAATTCAAATTTCAAAATCATTTATTTCAACTTAGATGTCAGTATAACACACTTATTGAATGTCAAAATATAAATAACAATGTTAACTCTACCACCGGTTCCAAAAAAAGCCACAGTCCTGAGAAGAACCGGCGAAATAAACTCACTCAAACTCAACTCAACAAATAATAAGCATCACGTCACTTTTGTTCTTCGAGTGAGTACAAATGGCGGTTGATAGTTTTATAGGCAATAGATATATTCCTTAATATTTCATTCTGAAATTGCGCTACATTTTTTGATTTATAACGGACATCACAACATAGTAATTTTTCCGACATCAACTATAAATGAATACATTATATATTTTCTCCTCTACAAACTTTAATGTCCATTTACTTGAAAAAATCATTCATTAAAAACTATTACATACGTTTTAGATTTAATTATCGTAATAGTATAGAAACGGCAATGTCATAGACAATGTCAAGTCGACCATTAGTGCATTGTTAGCCGCGATCGTTTGTTGTTTCATAATTTGATCTTGATGTTTTTGAACTTTTTTACATCGAAACTGCCTTCAGCCATGTTATTTTCAACCTTATCGTTAGTAGTCAAAAGGGCTATTCCAAATTCGCGTGCACCGCTATCACGGGCCCTAGTAAGAGCAGTACTTCGCTGAATCTACTATCGGATCGGAATCGGGACCCATTGAGAAGATTCGGCGAGAAACTCAGTAATGCAGCCGTGGTGATGCATTCTTTGCATATAAACAGCTAGCATACGACCGCATTCCCCCATTGATCATAAAAATCTGTCTAAAGCCGCGAAGTCACAAAAACAACAAACAAAATATGCGAATATAATATTTTTATGTAGAGCCTTTAATTCGAACGTATGACATTGACGATCTAGCTAATTTAAATCAAACAAATTTTGCGATTGTAAATACGTAATGTTTTGTAATTCGTACGATAATCGGGTTCTCCCTGTATTGTTTGCCACTTTATCGAACAAAGACATTGACCCCGAAAACAAACAATTAGTTTCAAGTCCTGAGTTAATAATTGAAGCACGCAACAATCACTGTGTGAAAGTATTGTCTTATTCTACGAGGATTTCTTTTGTTTACAACTTGTTAATGCTATTGTACTCATCGAGTATTAATAGCCTAATCAAATTTTCGAAGACGGCAATGAATAACGGCGTACAGGGAGCGTACGGACCTATAAATGACCAAATACTGGACATATAAACCGTTGCTAAACGCTGAGGAATCTTTTGAAACTGACATCTGAAGAAGGACGTGTGTCATAGCGCTCGGGATATGGGAGGAAATTGTCTCTGGAATCTTCTTGTGGGTAGACGCAGTGATTTCAGGTAATAGGGTTGTGCATTGGGCATTGCTTCGGTTCCTGGTGGTGTGATGATAAAAGGGATTTCCGCAATAATCTCAAAAAATATATCGTGGAGGTCAATTAGGAGAGTAGTAGTTGTAGTAACAATTATTCTAATGTCATTGTGAATTTGTAGTAGATTGAGCTCAAGCTTGCTTAAACAACAATTTTGTTTTTTGATTGCTTACATGGGTTGACGAGCTCACGGTCCACCTGGTGTTAAGTGATTACCGGTGCCCATGGACATCTACAACGTAAATGCCGCCACCTACCTTGCGATAAGAGTTCTAAAGTTACAACGGCTGTCCCCAACCTTCAGACCGAAACGCATTACTGCTTTACGGCAGAAACAGGCAAGGTGGTGGTACTTACTCGCGCGGATTCACAAGCGGTCCTACCAATATTTACGCAAATTATCAAAGAAAAAAATCTGCTTTTTGATTACTGCACGTGAGGATTGTCTCGATTACTATGAAATTGTCAAACAAAAAACCTACATATGTAATTATTAACATGTGTAAATTTGAATTGATTTGTTGCAAATAAGAAAAATCTTGGATGGGCTGCTAAGCTGGCTTACAGGTGGTTCATTGCTTATTTTTAAGTGAAATCAATATTTTTTTTTTTTTACATTAAACGACATAGTCTTGATTATTACCATACTTGACGATACTTAGGACGTCTGAGTAAAACGATAGATACAGAACGTCTGGTTCGACACAGAACAAAAATAACCGGTATTATATAAAAAAAAGTAGTAAGTTAGAAATGAAGTAGGTATTAGAAGAAAAAAAAAGATAGATAGTTGTATCTGGTTTATTACAGATAAGATACTAGTCGAAACTCTAAAATACTGAGCATTTCAAGGGCAATTAGTATTAACAATGCATTAGTACTGATTGTTAATCACTAAAAAACTAACTACATAGGTACTTACGGTATTTTAAACATAGATTCGATCTATGCTTACAATACCGATTGTTTAATTAACTAAGTATGAACGCATTAAATACGTACTTCAGTTTTTTTATTAATCACAATGCATTTTACAATCTAATTAGACTTGTTATGCACTAGTGGATTCTGCAAATCTTTACCGTGTATATATGAGTGCATCGACAAAGGTATTTATACCTTCGTACCTACCCACACCACAATCGATTGGATATTTCGAGAATTTTGCAGGAAGTCGTCCGTTCACCTTAACCTCGATTCAAAATAGCGCTCAATTGAAAGCCTTGTTTAAAATAATAACAACTTTATTTAATTAACACTAAAACCGAAATCAGTTTTGGCTTTCGTCGCGTTAATTCGGTTCGTTTTTTTGGACGGCTACTTATTTTTGCGCAACCTGTTGCTAAAAATAACCCAAAGATAACGACTAATTACATAACAACTAATTTATAAAGCATACATTCGAAATGAGAGTATTCTGTTTGCTTCAATATTAAAATTTGCAAACAATAAAAGATCAACAAAGATGAATTTTGTTCTGGTGCTGGATTCACAGCCCTTTTGATGTTACTTTTAGCTAGGATTATTAGGGCATGAGTGGCGTTTATTCCAAATTATGATTTCATCACTAAAATCGGAAGATTACTGGTGGTAGAACCTCTTGGGAGTCCGCACGGGTAGGTACCACCACCCCGCCTATTTCCGCCGTGAACCAGTAATGCGTTTCGGTTCGAAGGGTGGGGTAGCCGTTGTAACTATACTGAGACCTTAGAACTCATATCTCAAGGTTGGTGGCGCATTCACGTTGTAGATGTATATGGGCTCCAGTAACCACTTAACACCAGGTGGGCTGTGAACTCGTCCACCCATCAAAGCAATAAAAATAAAAAAAAACATTTAGTGTTATTCTTTTACTGTTAATTAAACAGGAGAATCATGTATCCACTTTGAAACGAAGAAACAACAATTACTTACTTATTTTTGACAGAATTAGAATTTTAAAAAAAACGAAGAAAAATTCAATTTTACGTCACTAAAATCAGGTGTAGGTACTACAATACTAAATGTAAAATCGGACACGCTGTCTGTGATTTTCTGTCAAATCTGTTAACTTAGTTCATTGTATTAAGCATGTACACAAGAGATGAAGACTTCAGTCGTAATATACCAAGTAAAATAGACAAATTGGCCTTGACCTAAATATGAACTGAAGTAGAGTTACCTACGTTCCCAAACGGTAGCGCGTGTTCTTTTTGAACAAATATCTACATATCAAATATAGATTAAGTGTCAATGTCATATATTGATTAATATTGTTGTTTCCTTTCAAACTTTTTATCGATTTTTAAATAAAATTTCTATATCTTATAATTTCTATCCCTATAAAATACATATTAAAGTCAACAAAAGGTTATTTTATTATTAACCGATTTTCTCTTGCCTGCATCACTATCGGATATCCCTAATTTGAAATCACTATCTAATTCAAGAGTCCGATAGTAAAGCAATAAAAACACAATAATAAGTATTATATACACTATCCTACACAGAATAACGTGATATTTAACCCTGCTTTTTTACATAATAAATGCATTATCAATATGATGAAATATTAGAGCATAATTAAGCTATAATATTTTCCACGTGCGACCTTAACGGTTTATTTGTGTGTTAAGTGATGTCCATCCAGTATTACGTTGTTTCCAGAACTCATAGACGTAACGATCTGCCGTGAAGCAGTAATGCGTTTCGGTTTGAAGGGTGGGGCAGCCGTTGTAACTACACTGAGACTTAGAACTTATATCTCAAGGTGGGTGGCGCATTTACGTTGTAGATGTCTATGGGCTCCAGTAACCACTTAACACCGGGTGGGCTGTGAGCTCGTCCACCCATCTAAACAATAAAAAAAAACCAAACTACCAGCCAAACATGAAGATGTTTTTTCTTATTTTTTTCCTACCTATTCTCTGATAACCCAAGGGGCTATATGAATAAGTTACGCTGTGACATATATATCAATCCTAATATAATAATAAGACTAAGGTCTCAAGTGTGCTGCATAGCGGTTCTAGCCTTCAAACCGGGTCATATGATTACGTCGCAACAGAAATAGGCTGGATGGCTATAGATGCCAATTTGGGTTCACAAAGCGCCCCAGGGTTGGCGATTGTACTGTATTCAAAGGATGGATGAAAACTGGTCATGCGATAGGTTCGATGACCGGTCGTGAGTTGACAAGTATTAGATCTACCCTCATAAAAAAAGAACCACTACCCATTAATTATTAATTATCGGGTATACATCTTAGTACTATTTATGATACCCACGGATAGTGATGGGGGAAGTATTTTCGCATATATATTTTTTCATTCGTTCACAATCTCCGCTTGATCGACGTCCGTGACCACGAGAACGTCGAAAATCGTAAGAAATAAATATGAGCAGAGAAATAAATTGTAAAAAAATAAAGTGTCTACGGTAGTCCAAAGAAAATACAACATTAATATTACCACCTTAAAACTTATAATCGAAGTCCAAGGAAAATCCCTTCAAATTGACACTCGTATTTGCTTCGCGGCATTAATAGGCAGAACGTAATAGTGACCGTCAAAATACGGGCTCAGTACCAGTACACTGGTGATTACGCAAAGCTATACTTAATTTTGAGTACATTCACTTTTAAAGAATTAATTGCAGTTATTTTATTAGCCTTAAAAAAATATATGCCTAATTTCAACGCTACATTTTACTAACACGACTATCTACACGCAGTCAAGGTTCTATTTATTAATCGGTGAATGACCTCTCCTTAGATCATGCATGTTTGTCGCGTACCGGAAGTAGTTACGTAGAACGTTATGGCGCGAAATTTATTCGCTCGATTTTCTTAAATAATTGCATTAAATAATTACAATCAAAACTAAAAGCAATTCAATGAAGAATTACCGTTGGCTTTATTGAAAAGATATCTAAGATATCTCGCGTATCAGCTAATATAAGTTAATTAAATCTAATTTTACGGTTCTAATTTCGGGTTTATTATTTTCATTTTATTAGTTCCGACGTTTGGAATATCCTTGACAGATTTAACTCAGAACTAAACTTAAATGTCGACGGTTAACTACTACTGATAGAGTAGTCCGTGGTAGAGTCCGTGACCAAGAAAACTGTAAATTATTTGAAGCATCGGAAATATTAAACGTCAGATTGAACTGTAAAAGTATTTTTAATTTTAACTCTTGAAAATCGAAGAAAATACTACAGTAGGTGGATTGTGAGAAACCTTCCATAAAATAGTTAGTGTTTTGACAATAATTAACTGAACGAATGTTTTGTGAGCAAGAGCATCATATAGAAAATTAAAAGTACTTTAAATAGTAAATTTGTGGATAATATTATATGATTGTTCCAAAGATTTCTTTTTGAAATTGAAAATCATAAATGTATCTATTAGATATATTTAACAAAACTATAATAAAGATTAAAAATTATTCGTATTGAAAACAGAGTTTTATCGATTTTAAAAATAATAGATAATTTCGCTCGCTAAAAAGTAGCTACTCCGTTGTGATCACAGTAAAATGTGATTTTAAATAATGTATTTCAAAATATAATTGCCTATAACAATAATATATTGATGATAGCATTGCATTCGTTTTCAGACAAAAGGCGTATACGCTGTACCGAAACTGACGCTATACACATCGGAGCTAGCACATTACTCGACGAAAAAATTGGCCGCATTCATGGGGATAGGAGATGAAAACTGCGTTTTAATAAAAACCGATAAATACGGTAAAATCGATGTTGAAGATTTAGAGGCTAAAATTGTGGAGGGCATCGAGGAGGGCGCTGCTCCATTCCTCGTCACAGCCACCGCTGGTACCACAGTCTTTGGTGCTTTCGACCCATTAGTCCCCATAGCGGCGCTCTGCAAGAAATACAATCTCTGGCTTCATGTTGACGCCGCTTGGGGTGGTGGAGCCTTAATGTCGAAGAAACATAGGCATCTGTTGAATGGAATTGAATTGTGAGTATTATTGAACACAACAACTTACTAGTTTGAAATTGGGATTCATTTTTATCCGCCCATCTGGATATATATGCAACCGTGTGATCAGATCTCTTGAAATAATTTGTATTATATTATTAATAAGTCTGAAACTATAAGCCAAGCATTCGAATATCAAGAATACTATGTAGGATTTTGTATGGATGTAATTTTTACTAAAATAATGAACAAGGATGAATCTAAATACTATCTTTTGCTTCTGATGTCGTGCTTTGAAGTGAAAGAAGTGTCTATGGACTGTCTGTGATCCGGCACCTGGTATTGAGGTGAGGTGAGGGATTCGGCTCTATCGGGTTTGAAGCTACTGATCTAATCTAAGTAAATTGGCACAGTGATAGGCGATCATGAATGAATACAAAGATAAATGAAAAAGTAAGCCGTTGTAAACCATGAAATCAGTTAAAAAAAGGACATATCATCAATCTTAAATCAAATTACAAATCGGGTTTAAAATGTTGTATTTTGAAAGTACACATTAAAACTCTCCGAAAAACAATTAACCTCAATAAATTTACTAGTTCCAAACTGCACTAATAATTATTTTAATGTTATAGTCTGTAAGGACATTGCAATATTTTACGAAAGGAAGCAATTTAATATTAAAGTCGTATCGATTTTGTTGTCAATTACAACCTTCAATTCATCAAATATATATTTGAAAAAGAGAATTAGAGAGGATAATTCTTATAGAAATTCTTGTGTTCGACGAAGCTTCACTAATTGAATACGTTTACAGGGCGGATTCAGTCACGTGGAATCCCCACAAGCTACTGGCTGCTCCTCAACAATGCTCCACGTTCCTAATTAGACACAAGAACGTTCTCAAGGAAGGACACTCGTGCAATGCGAAGTACCTCTTCCAGAAGGACAAATTCTACGACACATCATACGATACGGGGGACAAACATATCCAGTGCGGTCGACGGGCGGATGTCCTCAAATTCTGGTTCATGTGGAAGGCCAAAGGCTCGGACGGCTTCGAGAACCACATCGATACGCTATTCGATAACGCGCGCTTCTTCTTGGAACAGATTCGTAATCGGGAAGGCTTCGAATTGGTCATTGAAAAACCGGAATGCACGAACATAATGTTCTGGTACGTACCGCGTTGCCTTCGCGGCTGCGAAAACGAGTCGGACTACAGAGAAAGGCTCCACAAGGTTGCCCCTAAAATTAAAGAATTAATGATAAAGGAAGGAAGTATGATGGTAACTTATCAGCCTCAAGGAGATCTTGTGAATTTCTTCCGTATCGTGTTCCAAAATTCGGCCCTCGATCACAAGGATATGATATATTTCGTAAACGAATTCGAAAGGCTCGGCAGAGACATATTAGTCTAAGCTAAATTTATATTATTACAAAAAATCTCGCATCTGAATATCTGTGATCGAAACGGCAATATTGTTTTTTTTTTTTTTTTAGTTTAAAATTTGTTATTGAATTAATGTAGATTTAGTGTGATTTGTTGAAAAACAAACTTAATGAAATTTAAATATAAATAAATTATGAATTATATTAAATGTATAAAACAGTTATTGAGTGTTTTTATTATTGCGAATAATAACATTGATCAAGCTAATTTTTATACGCAATTGAACCTCTTTATAAATATGTATAATAAATATGGTGAAATATAGTTAAGATATTACAAGANATGTAGATTTAGTGTGATTTGTTGAAAAACAAACTTAATGAAATTTAAATATAAATAAATTATGAATTATATTAAATGTATAAAACAGTTATTGAGTGTTTTTATTATTGCGAATAATAACATTGATCAAGCTAATTTTTATACGCAATTGAACCTCTTTATAAATATGTATAATAAATATGGTGAAATATAGTTAAGATATTACAAGAGTCCACACATACAACATCTTAAATTTCTCGGCCCACTTTCTCACTTCTTATCAACAGGCCAGAGAGTTGGCCTATACTAATCAGTAATTTCACTGCTAATCAGTAGTGAAAATACTTTCCGTAACAATAAAATTAAATACTATTTAAAAGAACATGTAAAGGTCTACTTGATTAGAAACTTTGACTCGCTTCTAATTTCTCTTACTACTTCGCGGTAGAAATAAATAATATCTATGACTGGCTTATGATACGCCTTACTATCAATACTTTTGTAAAAGACGTCAGACGTCGTGGAAGTTATTCGTTTTTTTTCCTACCTATACTGATGACCTGAGAGGCTATATCAACGTTACCCTAGCGTGTAGGTGAGCTCCCAGGGCTCAAACCGGACGTGTTGCTAACACTGGCCCTATGATAATCGCCTTATCGTTACTGCCGCTGACTACTCTCCGAATCTTGATCGCGCAGGAGCCAGTCACCGTCGTTGCCCTAGACACGTCCTTATGGACGCCTTCAACTCTAACAATAGGAGCAAGCTTAGGGACTCCGGTAACCCTACTCGTCGAACTCGAAAAAGAGGTCGACATGCAACCTAACCCATGCATCAGCTCGCTAAGCTTTTCGCCGGATCTTCTCAGCGGGTCACGATTCCGATCCGGTAGCAGATTCATTCGCGAAGCAGTTACTCTTGAGTTGTTAGGTCTCCTTCGAAGGCACTCGGGCAGCTGTTAGCAAATCCCACCCCTCCTGGCTGAGCCTTTGCTTACTTATTTATTTTATTTATTTATTTATAACTTCTTATACTAGAAAGTATAAAGGCGGATTTAATGCCATAGGCATTCTCTAACAGTCTACCTTAGGGGAATTACTACTTACCCACCCGTGAAACTGGAAAGGCCTCCGGGTCACCAGTAATCCTTCAATTATAAAAAGAAAACACCGGCCCTAGCAAGCTCTAGCACTGCTCAGTGCTTCGGATCGGAAACGCGACCCACTGAGAAGATCCGTCGAGAAGCTCAGTGGGCTGTGTCTGTGGGTTAATTCGCTCGTCGAGCCCTTCGTCGAAAGCGACGGGTACGATGAGAACGGTGACCGGTGCTTGTGGTACCTTAAAACACCGTTAATGGATCGGGAAGATCCGTAATGAGTCATTTGTGCGAAGGTGATAAGTGTAGGTAGGGAAGCAATACATCCAACTATCACATAGTTACCGCTCTCCTAATGGATTTAGCGATTGATTGGACCAGTGATCGGCAACCTGTGTATATTATATATCATCTTGCCTTGTAATATACGAGTAAACATTAGTGAAACACAAGGCTATAAAAATATATTATTATGTTGAAAAAAAAGGCTTTTTGAATAAATTTCAATTGTGTGTTATCTATGTATATTCGGCTATTTTGGTTGACAAGGTTGCCGTGACCACCGAGCTTGAATATTGAACCAAGACTTTGAAGTGCGATTCATGGCATGAATTTTGTTTAACACATTTTATGTTTTTGTTGGTAGGAAGTATTTTAAGTCCGGACGTGTAGGTATTATTTATTCTAGTCTATTTCGACCGCGATACAGTCGCGTGTTCCGGTTCCTATATGGTATGAAATCATCATAATTTAAGTTAGTTCTCCCAGTCACCCTCGATATTTAACTCTGGAATTAATAAATATGTACCTACTTCAAGAAAGAGAGCAACGTCAATTTTAAAAAAGGAACAGAATTGGGACCGGAAACATCTTTATTGTTCATAATTATGTACATTTCTTAAATTTAATTCCTTAACTTAGTTTTACACTATTTATTTGATTTTAGAGGGTACGTGTTCCATAAGGGTACCACTTAAAATATTTATGATTCTACAACGTCTTCCTCTGGTTCCTCCAATGGCAGCTCTTCGCAGTCAAGCTGAAAATAATGGTAACGTTGAGTGATTATTCAAAAAACGACTGAAAACTAATAAATAAGTTAAAGAATGCTTGTGAACGATGGCTTATGAAACAAGATTCTTCATATTATATGGGTTTAATGAGGGCTATTTCGAGAAGGACACTGCTTTTTGAACGGTAAATGAAATGAAAATCGATTATTTGGACCAAAAAAATATTGAATACTCTCTCGCCTGAAATTTACTTAGACTGACTTATATTTATTTCTTTATTAATACAGATCCTTTTGCAGTCTCTCGCAAGGTTGAGATAGCCGTTCGTTTTGAGAAAGATTCCAGGGCAACCGTTTGTAATTCTTCTTAAGATCATTAGGTACTCACCAACGTTTCATCATCAGGTACTCGGGAGAGCAGATCCAGAATTTCATTATTAGGAATTCTGTTCGGTCTAAGAATTTTTCTTGTGAATTTGTGTACACCTTAAACATAAATTCTCTATCGTTATTTTATAAAAAAAGATGTGTGGTGTCGTGGGACACCGGATAGGAACGAAGTACCTTATTATAAAAATATTAATTTTAAGTTCTATTCTAAAATAAAACTGCAGGTTTTGCAACAACCCACGGTCATTCGCTAACGTGCGAACTTATTGTGGTACACTTCATTCACGGTTGTTTGCATAAGAGTTAGTGTATTGCGCAAACGAACACTCTGAGATCGTATAGTCAATGAATGATAAAAAATATATTTTGTTTTTTGTACGTTATTACAAAGTTAAGTCGTACACTGTGTGCATTACTAATAAAAACCTTACGTTACGGACGTTTTTTCCAGGTTAGAATACCCCTCCACATCGTCCCTTAAGGAACTTCGTTCCAAAAACATTCGTACGGAGACAATTTGGACAGCTTGGTTATAAAATTAAGAGCATCCTTATTTCATAGTGGGATTGCGGTTTGAAACAAATGCTCCTAGGGTACAGGTTTTTTTGTGATATAATGAAGTGTCCACGTTTGTAACGTAGATCGAGAGAAACTCCTACACCAGCCACTGTTCCACTCAAGTGGATGAAGGTTACACCGTGAACACTGACCACAAAAATTGATAAACATTTCAAACCCAAGCCTATAAGTTTGATACATATTCAAGGATTTCCTACGTCTTTCTAGTTCATCATCTTTTTGCTTACATAATATTATATTATTATTATAATGATAACAAGCACGTTCAAGTTGAAGTAAGAGTGTTTTTTTTTGTCATGAACACTTATCGTATTTTATATAAATAGAGATAAACCTTAATATTAATAATAGCGTTAAAAACTAAAGTGACTTGAATGGATTCTCGAAAAAATTTATAAAAACTTAGCTTGTCGCGTTTTTTTTTCCTACCAATGCTGATAGCCTTGAGAGGCTATTTCAGCTTCGCCCTAACATGTAGGTGAGCTCACGGGGCTCAAATCGGAGTAGCGCTAACACTGGCCCTAGCAAGAGCAGTGCTTCGCAGAATCTACCACCGGATCGGAAACGCGACCCACAGAGAAGATCCGGCGGAAACTCAGTGGGCTGTGTCTATCGGTTAATTCGTTCGTCGAGCCCTTCGTCGCAAGCGACGGGTTCGACGAGGACGGTGACCGGTGCTTTTGGTACTTAAAAGCGCCGTTAATGGATCGGGAGGATCCGTAATGACGTGTTTTGGGCGACGTCGACGATTGTCGCTGATAACGTAATCTGATAATAATGTTTGCTATAGATAATAAATATAAAGTCGATCAGGTACTTACCCCAACCCATGAAGATATATTTCACAGGAATCACAAACATTACGAAGGCGATAATTATGATCATGAATATGGTCAAGAAACTTAAGAAGGGTACTGTAAAGTTGAACAAACTGAAAAGAAAATAAAGTGTCAAAGTATAACAAGTGTTTGTTTTACTAGACGCATTTATCTAGTCTAAGTTCCAGTCGTATTGGTATCGGATTGTCATGTCATCATTCACTTACTTCTTTACTCTCTCGTGTAGACTCGCAAACGTTCCAATGAAATTCTGCACCGTCTGTACCATTTCCTGTAAACTTTGTATCTTTTGTCTTAAAGATGTGTTTTTTTCATCCTAAAAGAAAATAATCACATGTCGGATTTAAATTACAATAGACTTATTTCATTAAAATATATAAATAATTTTACCTTCTCTTTCTTAGAATGATCATCTTCAATTGGCATTCCTTTGAAATACCGTTTCCCTTTAACATAAATATTAACTGAGTGAATACAATTTAATCCTAACACTTGTGTATTCAATAATAACGTAATTTAGCCACATTGCTAAACATTCACTAATTGTCTAATATAACACTGCTACTTACAGTTTACTAAATAGTATCTCGGTGGACGATACCAAATGAATGGTATCAATAATAGAAGTGGCAACATCCACATTTTGAAAAACCAACAAAATAATAGCCATAATGTGAGGGCTAATGTGTTTGATTTTCTTGATTCCCATTCGAAACATGTTCTAAAAAGGTAAGTGGTTTTTTAGGTTTTACTGGCCTATTAGAATATCAACTTAGGGCACATTTCAGAGTACAACTTGAGATATGATGGGGTCTGAACTTTATTGGAAAATGTTTTATTCTAGTCTAAAATGAAATTGACAAATATTTGTCAATTCATATTTTCCATACGAATATATGTTATAACAATAAAATAAATGAATACATATAACATATTATAAACATATTATTTTCCATATGGAAAATGGGAAAAAGTCTGGACTTACTTAACGATCTGGATAGCATTTAGCACCCATGCAGTGACATATTTTGCCCTTGAGATATTCCTCGCAAAAAGATGTCTATCGAATTTGGCTTTCGTTTCTAAATATTTTGTCTGTTTGGGTGTAAACGATCGGAGCGATGCTTTTGTCTGTAACAAGAATTATCGATATTAGAATTATATTTAGAGCTTTATTAACAAAATTATTAACGTAGGAAGCTTACGAGATTCCATGTGACTTTCATTTCTAACAGGATTCTAGGGTTCGTTCCTCTCGCTCTTTCTCTCTGCGTTGTGTGTTTCAGAGCATACCATTTTTTTACTCCGTTGTTAATTTTTAATAATGGTATTGTAATTTTTGCAATATCCTCAGATCTTTTTTCGTCATGTACTGTCACTTCTATTACTGAAGTAATATCATTTACAATGCTAAAAGCAGTTTTTATAAATTTGATTAAAATATGTCCAGACGAACAATAGAAATTAATTAGTACCTGGTATTCAATAAAGATTGATAGTTGTGCAACCCATCCAAGACTATGCTAAATCTGATCAATATGATCATTTCTGTTGAAAATTTATTACTGTTGTGTTTTTCCAATTCCAACAATCTAGAGTCCGTGCACAAGATTATGTGCGACGATTTATACTATTGTTTCCACAACGAGGACTATACCTATTATTAAATAATCCTTACTTGAAAAAGACAAGTTTCATTCGCCTCTTTTAGCAGAGGCATTTTAACACAAGATACTCACAATTTAAATAATNATTTTTAAAGTACACATTTTTCTATTTTTAGTTGAATCCAAATAATTGAGTTTATTTCTTGTGTTTGTATTAAACTTTTGAAATCTACACTCTTTTGGTATATTTTGTAATTTTAAATTAAGACACAAAATACTAAAAACTGAAAATAATGTAGCCAGTCCTAAGCCTGGTAAAAGCATGAAGGAAAGTTTTTTTGATATCTTTATTTTCATGTTCTTTTTATTACTTTAAGATCATATTATAAATTGATATCAGAAAACCAACCGTATAACGTTGACTAAAATCTATATCTACTACGATATTATATCAGCGTATCGTTTCAAATCTCAAATATCATGAATCGAGAAAATCTACTAGCATCCATCAATATATAGATTCAGAAAATATATAGATTCAATATCCGATATTGATCCTCGATATATAGATACGATTCGATACGCGGCAAAACCGATATTACCCACTCCTAGTGTCTCGTGCCCTGACGAATAGGATATAAGTACGCATTTGAAGTATCTTTTCTAAACAGTTTTGATTTCATTGCAACAGACTCAGAGATCAAGGCTAAAGAGATATGTACATCGTAATTTCCTTGGATTTTGGTAATAACTGATCTACCTATCTACGCCAATTAAAAAGAGAGAATATAGGTCTCGATGCTAATGATGATGATAGTTTACAAATCTAAGCCTGACCAATTCTTTAAATCTCAACAGAACTATTTTAAGAAACAAAAAATATGTTATGTGGTCTTACAAATTTCTTTTTGACAACATCGAGCTCCTTGGTTGTTGCTTCATAATCTTCTAAATCTGCGATGGTATTGTGTAACGGTATACCGCTGATTGTAATTAATAGAAAAATTTGTACTACGGATATTTCCCCTTCTATCTTGAGACGCATTTCATGTGTCTTCTCTTTATCCAAATTATTCAGATCTATTATAGTCCTAAAATAAAAAGGTTACATTAGTAAATAGCTATCTATATCAGCAAATTTTACGAGATATCGATCTCATCCTTAAATGGGTCAATCTTATCAAACGTTTTATTGTAACGATTTGTTTGTTACTACCAGCAATAGCATTAGCAACAGCCTTTTGTTTTATTCTATTAATTCGCACTAGGTCAAAGTTGTATTGATTAGTTATTTTTGAATGTGCAAAATTATTTTCTTAATGTTATGAGTAACGCCATCTATCGCCGAATACTCGAACGAATATAGAAGTATCTAGTAGCACATAGAACGCTCAAGAAGTACAACGCCATCTATTGACAGATAGTGGAAACTACTACTAGAGATGTGTGGAATATTCTTGATAATTCTAGGGATGAGGTATTGACTATAAAAGGGTTGCAGGGATGGCACGCAGTCAGTCAGTAATCGGAACTACTCGAAGCGAAACAGCGAACGGATCACCTGAAGCGAAGCGGAACAAGTGAATTGAGAGTTTTAAAGTGTTTTTTGAACGTTTCAAAGTGTTTGTTGAGTATTTTAAGTGTTCTAAGTGTTGAATACAGTTTTTAGTTGTACTTTGGTGAAATTTTATTTATCCCGAATCCCAGCGCGTAACATTAATAATCAAATATCGGGATAGCACGGCTTCAGATTATTTGCAGTCATATTTACGTATTTACAAATATTTCAAAGCTTTACGAAAGGTATGGATCACGTGGGCGAAAATGATGTTTCACTTCGATTAATTAAGAAAATAAAATCAATCAGTAAATGGAATTGATTTCTATAATTACCTGCCAATACAGAAATCTTTATCGCACAGAGACAACTCAAGCAAATGGTCTTCGTACATACTCAAACTGAATAGTTCTTGCCATTTCAATTTAGTTGTATTCCCTTTTGCTGTCTTTGACTTATGTTTCTCAGTTCCCAATCTGTAAAGTTCAAGCTTGTTATTTCAAGTTATAATGGCAAATGATACAAAGGATACATATTTTACATTCCGTCTCACCTGTACTACTAAGAGATCGCTAATTCATGTTAAACTTTTATCAAGACAGTCAATCAAAGTTGGTCTAATTTCAAACATTTGTGACCGTAATGTTAACTGTGTGTTGTTTATTTCTGAGTGGGCATTTAGAGTTGTAAATTAAAAGAAAAAGGCGGTACTTTAATAATGAATCGGCAAGAAGAAGTTTTTATATATAAGATTTTTCTCTCTTTTCATCGTTTTCTCATCGCATTACATTTTGTACCATCAGAAATTTAATCGAATTAGTGTTATAATCTTTTTTTTATTTTTAACAGTTACAATACGTTTATTTTGCGCACTTATCACTGCAACAGATTAGAACTAATGTATTTGCTAATCAAGCAATCTTTGGCTTCGATAAGAGAAGGAAATTTTTAAGCTTAGATATTTTTTCAAGTCATGATAACTTATGATTTGGTTGTACCTAAATCGACAAAATAACATACGGGTTCTTTCTTCGGGGCCTTCAGTCTCTAAATCTGTAGCGTCGATCAGTGCAATTGTTACAGTACCCAATTTAGTCTTCTTTAAGCTCCTCAAATCCTGTTTAGTCGTATTACTCAAAATAAACTGCAAAAGAAAGGAAGTTTTAGTAAACGATCCACCAGATAATGTAATTGCCCCTCAAACTCGGATCGATTTCAATAAATTAGTTCGGAGCACAATAAATTCGAATGCTAAAAAAACGGCTCCCGGGAAATAGCAGTTTTGTAAACATTTAAAAGAGCTTTAAGAACCGAGATCCGGAACGACTTGAAACGTAAATACAAAAAGACCTTTTCAACTTTGTCACGATGTTCCCTTTTCCTGTCCTTGTTCGGATTTTTTACTTTTTCCTCTCGCCAACGTTTTTCCTTGACAGCGGATATTTTTGAACCAATTCTATTGCGAATCGAAATCTTCGGGGGAGTCGCCGGGGGCGTGAGCTCACCGTCGCTCCCTGAAGCTACTTCATTTAATCTGTTAATAATAACTGAATTGTTATTAACAATATACATTAACATACTTATGATATATACTTATGTTCATTAATAATAATAATAATAAGCATTTATTCCAAAGATAAATTAGGTACAAAAAATAAAAACAAAAATAACGAGGCTTGGAAACGGTTAGCGGCTCAGCAATGCCTAACAATCAAATCAAATCAACACGCTGCGAAGAGCTTCCCCCTTCTCAACGTCCCTCCAGCAGCATACACGCCCCTGCCCTGCGTGGCAGGGAGCTTCTGCCTGGGTAGTGGGGTTCGCCCCGAAGCCCGTCCCGTGCCCCGTAAGGGGGTACGACGACCTGTTTGATTTTGTATGCCTAACAGTAAAGAAACAATCGGTACTGCGGCGCTGATCTTCCGCCAGCACCTGCAGAGTGACGCGCACACGAGTATCAGACCGACCAATCGTTATGTACTTGAGTTTAGCAAATTATTTCTTTCCTTTTTTTAAATTGGAACATGTTATACTTTGTTAAGGAAGCTGAATTTAAACAAACACAAGTACACAAGAAACTAATATATAAAAAAAAACAAGAATAAAATAAAAAATGTTACGAAATTTAAAAATGTCAATATTGTAATAAGTTTTATATTAGAAGTTATTTTTAAATGGTATATTTCAAGTATGCACTTACGACTCAAGACTCATTTTAGAAAAGTCATCTCCAAAGAATTTATCTTCCCTGCCATTTTCGTACTTTTCAAGAGGAGTAAACCCTTCGGACTCGGAAATACTAGCTTCTTTGAAATCAACATATTCAAGATTAGCGTCATTCCTATTCATGTCTTTAATTAGCAATGTATGCTTTTCCAAGGAACTATGGTTCTGAACTTCTTCAAAAATTTCGTCCGACTCCGCAGTTATATCCAAAGTGCTTGCGAATTTGATCTCTTTAAAGGCATAATCATCTTTAAGCGTCGACAGTACGTCAACGGATTTTGATTTCTCCAGTTTCCATTGCATCTCTTCATATTTCCTTTGTATCCTCTCGTGCAGTTTGGCGAAATGTGTCTTCTTAAAATCACCGAAGTGACTTTTAGCTCTTTCACCCATTTTCACTGAGCAATTTTTTTATTTTTTATTTATTTAACTATCGTTAACATAATGGACGCGAACTTGGTTTGGCATTGGAAACGATATTACATCGTTGGATTTATTTTAGATAACGTTATCATGTTATTGATTATTTTGACCAAAATACTATCCTTTGTCAACATTGTACATATTTGCTGGGATTTTGTGATAAAGAAATGTAATTTTCTGTGATGATTTTATGACGTTGAAGTAGTGGCGATGGGTGATGGCTAACTGGTTGGCTTGGTTTGACTTAAGATGAACATATCTAAAAATCAATATCTGACTTAGTGTGAGTATAACTTTATTTTGAAGCGTTTAATCCTTAAATCTATCGATATTTATATAAAAATCAAGGTTTGTCAGCCGTCCATTTGATTGTCATTAAACTTCGTTTCGGTAGCTAGTAATGGCGATTTCAGCTTGCCACTGAAACTTACCAGTGAAATTGGATTTTGGTACGATTAAGACATGATGTCGGAAAAAAAAATTGTTACTGTATTTATGATCTGGCAAAATCATATATATATTTTTTTACTAGATTTATTTACTAGATAGATGGTTGACTAGGTCATCGTCGATCTGCGATAACGCAAATACCGGCATTCACCTTGAGACATGTAGTCACAATCTACATTGTATTACACCTTGGGTTTTCTCAATACGCCCTTCCACCAGTACCATAAATCATGTTAACAGTAATTCTGAATGCAAGTTTTCGGTCCACTACGTATTTAGTTACTTAGCGTAAATTAAGTTTTGTAACGATATCAAAATAATCATCACCTTTTAAGCCACTATCACTAAGCCAAAGAAGCCTAAAAATAAATAAACTAGTCTACAAATGTGAATCATGAACAGAATGAATCATTTTTACCTTGGCCAAACTTATCGAGTCATCTATACGTTTCGTAATTGAAATCGCGCCATTAATGTTATAATTCTTACCGATTCATGTTTGGAATTACAGTAACTGTTTTGATTTTGTAAAAAAAAACAAAACGATAGTTTAATGAAATCTCGAAACCCGTTAGTGCTGCCTGCCGGTACTTGACAAGCTTCTCTGGATTTGTAGCAAAACTATAGCCCACTGAGTTTCTCGCCGGATTTTCTCAGTGGGTCGCGTTTCCAATCCGGCGGTAGATTTTTCGAAGTACTGCTCTTGCTAGGATCAGTGTTGGCAACTTCGCCAGGTTTAAGCCCCGTGAGCTTACCTACTCGTCCGGTAACGCTAATATAGCCTCTCAAGGCTATCAGTACAGGGAGGAAAAAAAAGGAAAACCATTTTTGTGTCTTAACAACAATCATGCGAGGAGACAATATATAATCATACAAGCTTCGCTGGATTTATAAGAAAACTGTTTTTGGGTCCTCACAGAAATCTTACGAGGAGACAATAGACAATAATAAATGCTAAAAAGCTTTTATATATTTTATAATTGTCTCTTTGTGTGGATGGGTGGACGACCTCACCCTTAATCTGGTGTTAAGCAGTTCTTAAGACATGAGGTCTAAGACTAGTATAATGGATGTCCCATCTATGGAACCGAAAAGGTTGGCTGCCTTGCGGCAAAAATAGGTAGGGCGATGCTACTGACTCTACCAATAAGAATGCAATATAGTTAATTTTTAGAGGTTTGGTTTTTATTACGCGGCACTAATCCTTCATAGTGAAAGTAATTCGTCATTATGTACGTATTTCATTGGGGGGAAGCCCTGCCGGGAATTTACTGTGCTTATACAGTTCTTGTTTACTTTAAGTGATTTCTCTGAATCGGGGAGATTAATGAACTCTATTCAGTAGGCAGTGAATTTAATTTGCAATTTTGATTTCGAGGTCCGTTTACAGAGTTCAGCAATTTGGACATTATTCCGTTCGAGGACAATAAGTATTGTTCCGCCGACTTGGAGATTGGTAAATTATTTGAAGTGAAATGACCTCGATAATTATGAATCATAAGTCGCTTAATATATCGAGGGTTAAAAGGTTATTTGGTTTAAGCGACATTTCGCTTAATAAGCGACATTTATCTTTGTAATTAAGGGTCCGTTTAATTTGGTATTAGCGTAAACAATTCTATGTTTTTCATTAACATTTAAACTTAATTTAACTTAAATTACTTTTTAACTTATTTTTTTTAATTTTTAATTAATTTAACTTAAATTAAACTTAATTTAACTTAAATTAACTTTAATTTAACTTAAATTAACTTTAATTTAACTTAAATTAAACTTAATTTAACTTTAATTTAACTTAAATTAGCTTTAATTTAACTTAAATTAACTTTAATTTAACTTAATTTAACTTTAATTAAGTTTAAATGTTAATGTTAAATTTTAAGGTCGCGAGGACCGAACCCGACTTCCGCGGAACCAGGTTGTTGTACGACTACTGTTACTGTTTGTTCAACTGCAACTTTAAATAAAAGTGCAGTGTGGCGTTATTGCTTTTTGCAGTAGGCTGCGACTTGGCTCTGCCCCTGGCATTGCTGAAGCCCATGGGCGACGGTAACCACTCACCATCAGGTGTGTCGTATGGTCGTCTACCTACAAGGGCAATAAAAAAAATGGCTTGGTAAGATGTTCGGTCGTATTACACCGAACGCGCAATTTGACGATCTATAGCAGGGGCTCCCAAGCTTATTTTGTCTACTGCCTACTTTGAGAATAAGTTATCTTTTAGCGCCCCCATTTTTTCACATACTTCAAAACACTATAACGAGAGCTCTCAGTCGGTGTCTAAGAATCCTCCTAGAAGAAATTACAAATCACCTCCCAAGCTTCTACACAACGCTCCCATTTTTTTCTGGGTCTGTTACCGCCCCCCTTTAGGCCCGGAGCGCCCACAAGGGGGCGTTATCGCCCACTTTGGGAAAGGCTGATCTATAGGATAGTCTATCTCCACATTGGCGTTTAGGTTTGCTGGATAAATAATTAAATAATATTCATCTACATTATTTATAATTTGTCCTTCCAGATCATCATTATCATCATTAGCACCGCCGACAGAGAGGGCTGGTGGTCGTGGCGCTGATGACCGCCGGTCCGGCGTCCCTAGTGGGAGGGTGATGGGAGAGATGTGCTCCGCACTAAACGCTTCACTTTCCCCCTTTGCCTTTTCATGAGTTCTGTCTCATGCGAGGTTTGGACGTTGGTTGTTGAACGACAGGAGGTTTTAGTCGGTTCGACTCCAACATGCTCCACCCGCCATCCCCAGTGGAGGGCGGAAGTCCGGCGATTTACTCCTGACCAAAAAAAGATGTGTGGTGTCGTGGGACACCGGATAGGAACGAAGTTCCTTATTATAAAAATGGTAATTTTAAGTTCTATTCGAGGTATAAAGGAAATAAAACTGGAGGTTTGGCAACAACCCACGGTCATTCGGTAACGTGCGAACTTATTGTGGTACACTTCATTCACGGTTGTTTGCATACGAGTTAGTGTATTGCGCAAACGAACGCTCTGAGATCGTGATCAATGAATGATAAAAAAATATGTTATTTTTTGTACGTTATTACAAAGTTAAGTCGTACACTGTGTGCATTACTAATAAAAAACTTACGTTACGGACATTTTTTCCCAGTTAGGGTACCTCTCCGCATCGTCCCATAAGGAACGTCGTTCCAAAACAAAAAACATCATTAACACCTCCGCAGATGAAAATATAATGTATTCATAATGAAATTGAGACGAATGTTTGTTCTCCAAACACGCAATACTGCAAATTCATTTTGGAGCTGCATTTGTGCGGTAGAGCATTGGGCATGTTCAAAGAGAGCTCGTTTGGGAGGTTAAGAGGAAAGTTTCATCGGACTTGGGCATTCGCTTCGCCGCGTCGTTCGCATTCAACTCTTGAACAAGTGGGGCGGGCCGCTCCGATGAATCATGAAATGGTTCGGAACTTAATTCCATTTTTGTCATTTGTGTTTTATAATAAACTAGCGGCCCGCTCCGGCTCCGCTCGGGTCTTTAACGAAAATTTAAACGATATTTGACGTCGTTTTATTTATTTAAATAAAAGAACACTTATTGCGGCATAACTATAATAGTTAGATATATGCTGTCGCGGCACTAGTTGTAAATAATGTGTTCTACAAAGTCATAGTACGTTATTTTATTCTATCATCAATAGTTTTCGCAGGGCACGCGATGTAAAGAATATTTTAGGTAATTTTTTTACACCTTGAATTACATTATTGGAGATTTAGTAAGGATCCCTATTTTTTTTTCAAAAAAGATTATAGCCTATGTCACTCGGGAATAGTGTAGCTTCCAAACAGTGAAAGAATTTTTCAAATCGGTTCAATACTTTCGGAGCCTATTCAATACAAACAAACAAACAAATCTTTCCTCTTTATAATATTATAGTATAGTAATATAGCAATAAGCTAGCCGTACTCGCCCGCTTCGCTTGGCATTTAAAATTAACATTATTATTTATTGTCATTATTATTATGGATTCCAACACCCATATAAATATTCCTATCCAGTATATGTATTTTCTACATGGATACCAAGTTTCAAGTCAATCAGATGCATGGTTCAGTAGTTATAACGGAACATCCGTAAAAACCACTGTAGATTTATACATTAATATAGTTTACACACAATATTATATATTTAACGGCTTCTCACTGCGATTTTCACATTTCATGACCCCATAATAAACTTGGTATCCATGTAGAAAAGACATGTACTTAATGGATGGGCTAATATTTATATGAGTGTTGGACTCTATAATAATAATAATGACAATAAATAATAATGTTAATTTTAAATGCCCAGCGAAGCGGCCGAGTACGCCTAGTATACAATAAATCCGGAATAAATGTACCTAATTTAAATCAATGTTCTGTTGAACCTTAACGCACTTGCTTATATGGATATCATATACCATTCTGTTTATTATCTTTGTTTATTCAAAATTACGTTCATTCGTCAAGATTCATCAAACATATTTTTCAATTTAAAGAATCTAT